TCAGGTACCTTTTGTTAAAAATGCAATGAGTTTTTATTCCCATAGTAATCGAGGGGCAAGTTCAATCAAATATACAAAAAGTCTTTGGAATACGAAAAAGTACCCGAGCATATCGAAAAACGTTTTTTTTTGTGCTTGGAAAAACATAGGTAGGCTATTTTTTTCATATATAAAACTGATTTCCTGAAAAGTGCGAATTCCAGAATTATTCGATGTCAAGAAAAGATGAATATGAAAAATTTGAATACCTCACCAGATCAACGACTCACAGTGTGCCAACATCAGTACCAAAGACAAACAAACAGCACTGTGCTAGTTGGGGCATTTATTCCTCGCTGTAAACCAGATGGGAGTTATGAAGATGTTCAATGCCGTGGATCTGTCTGCTACTGTGTGGATAGGAGAGGTAACGAGCTTCGAGGAACGGCAGTAAATATTGGGAAAGGTTCTCCTCTGTGTAAAACTCAAGGTAAGAAGACAGCGAATAATAATCTAGAATATAAAAAATACAATTTTGTCTATATCATAGAGAGGAAACCTTGGCCTTATTTGCTAAGAGTCGGATATAGTATTGAAAATGTTTAAGGCACTTTCCAGATTTTTTGGGTTGAGAAAGGTGCCTTCTATTATCTCGAAACTGCCTTCTCCTCACGCGGGTTTAAGAACACACAAATCCCCTCAGGAAACTTCCCTTGTTCTGAGGGGGGAGGGCTCGTTGTTTGCGGTGGAAAAGGCATTTTGAGCGAGCCATAACTGCTATGATTTCTTAACAAAACAAGATAGAGCGTACATTTTCTCCTTTTTTGAACTCCTAGGCAAGAATCTTACCTTGTGTCAACGACAGTATCAGGAGTACTGGAAATATCCATCCATGGGTCGGTATGTTCCACGATGTAAACCAGACGGTTCCTTTGATAATGTCCAGTGCTATGGCCCATATTGCTTCTGCACTAATCAAAACGGAAACAAAAGAGGCGGCAGTGTTGTACTGCAAACAGCTACAATGCCTCTTAGAAGCGACGATTGCCCTGATAGTGGTAAGAGAGATCGTAATATACAGCTATTGTGATTTCTAATATAAACAGAACATGTAACTGCCCTTATGATGGTCCAAAATCTAGTTTTCCTGATTGCAGTTGGAGAGGCGGAATTTGGCTTCCTCCTGTTGACTTTCGTCTCTCCGTTCCTCCAGCCAGGAGACAATAAATGCTAGATAAAGCATAATGGGCACCTAACGTTTAATAGCAATGTTCTGTATTTATTCTATTGCACCACATATTGAGGCGTGGAGTACAATTTTTTTCCTGAGCTGGGAAACGTTTACTCGAAACGGTCTCTGTTATCCCGAGTCTACATTTTCTGGAAAATTTTCACCTAACCATATGAAGCTAATGGTTCAGAGGTTTTCACTGATAGTTTCCTTTTAGTTGAGTACTCTCTACTTTCCTTAACTCATGTTAACTCTATGTATGTTTGGCTTCTGCAGAACAAGTACTCACACCTTGTCAAAAGAAGCAGGTGGATTTCTATACCTCTCCTCCGGCTGCTAGCAAATATTTCCCCCGATGCAGCCCTGAGGGGCTCTATATCCAAGTGCAATGTACCGTACAGGATGACGAGTGTTGGTGTGTTGATGAAGATGGAACAGAGATTCCACAAAGCAGAACAAAGGGTCCCATTAGGTGTCCAAAACCAGGTCATTATATTCATATGCTACTCTAGTGAAGCAATAATTGAATTTAGCAGGATAAGATGGAATTTTCCATTATTCCTGGCGCGTCTCCCTATAATTACCCGATCACTGGCTAACATTAACATTAGCCTATACCATACAAATGCATTTTGTATATTTTCTTTGCGGTGACAGACCTTTGGGGAGTTATTCAACTCCAATCAGCCAGTGAAAATCAAAATGGTTTCCTCTTAAACTTCGGATGCCTAAGAGAAAACTATTTTATTGATGACGTGGCCGTTGAAAACAACTGAACATGGCTACAAGGCCATTAAAAATATTTCACGATTGGGCGATGGATGCACGGACATAGAGAGTCAAATTTGTATGTAAACGTTCTTTGTGCTCAAAGTAGACACCAGGGCCCAGTTGTAGGGCGGATAATGTTACCCAACAGATAAATCGCTATTCAGTGGATAGGAGTTCAGAAAACGTGGTGCACTATCCACCGGATAGACATTTATCCAGTGGACAGTGTGATCCACCCTTCAAACAGCTAGGACCTGTTTGTTAGTGCAACGCACTCTGCTCCTATAATCACTGATACTCGTTAAATTAGGCGTTGGCACCTTGATATGGTAAAATTTACAAAACAATTTGTCTTCCATAGACTCCGCACCGGCTTGTCCAGGAAATCAGGTTCAAGTTTCTGGATATTTTGCGCACTTTATTCCTGAGTGTAATAACGATGGGGACTACAAGTCAGTACAGTGTGATTACAGATATGGCTACTGTTGGTGCTCTGATAAAAACGGAAATCCTGCTCCAGGGACAACAGTGAGGGGTCATCCCGACTGCAAAGTACCGAGTAGGTTCCAGGGTTATACTGTACATTCGCCTGTCTGTGATCCTGTGATAATCTTTAATAATATCATTTTTACCTGAATTAATTTCTACGTTAGGGTAAAAGGCATTTTCCCTCTTTGTGTCTCGGACGCTGAATCAGCAATGAGTCAGCGGAAAGTGTTACAATAATGTATTCGGAATTACGAAAGTGAAACTGACATTCTTCTTCCACGTCATTTAGCATGTATTTCGGACCTTTTTAAACTTTTTTCGTTCATGGTGTCTTGCAGAAAAACTGACCATTTGTCAACATCATCTTCATCAGCTGACTGCTTATTCCAGTTTTACTCCAGTTGGAGCCTTTGTTCCAGAATGTAGAAGCAAAGATGGACACTTCAAATCGCTTCAATGTGACCGTTTTAACTCCGTTTGTTTCTGTGTCGAGCACTATTATGGCCACACTTTGGTAGGATCAGTTGGCATTCGACAGCAAGATTGTGTTAAACACGGTGAGAAACTGCTCTTTTTGCTTCAAATTTCCTTCACTCTGAGTTGTTTGTGAACACCATAAATGGAAGAGGAATTAATTGTTTGATGTCTTTTTCAGGATCAAAACCACCACCATCGGTGCCAGATTTCAAAGTAATTCCTCAGTTAGTTGGCAAAGCCCTTTGCGCACGCGCTCGCAAGCAGGCATTGGGTGCGCTTACCTTGTACGTTGTCGGGGTTTATGTTCCACAATGCAAACCAGACGGTAGTTTTAAAACGGCACAATGTAATCCGGCCACGGGATACTGCTGGTGTGTGGATGAGGCGGGAAGAGAAATGCCTCGCACGCGCACCCGAGGGAAACCAACTTGCAGTAAAGGTAATGAATAATATTAGCACCTGTAATGCTACGCTCAAGTCCCCAAACCAAAGAGCACTAATTCTTTTCTGTAAAAGTTAGTGAGTACGTAATAAATATTTCTGAACGCGGTTTGTTTTTTGTTAGGGAGCTATTTGATGTTTTCAATGTCATTTATTAGTCGTTTCATAATTTCATAGCTTTTGATGTAGCACTTGAAGTATCTGTTACGTTAGCGCCAGCCAATACGACATCACGTATAGGACCAGGAATATTTCTCAATGACCCAAAAAGCACACCTTATCAGTTAGTGTGACTTTATGTTATATTTTTTAGCAAATATGACTCCTTGTGAGATGGACAGTCTCCGTGTTCGTGGCTGGAAAATAAATGGAAAATCTGCTGCAGTTTTTTCACCGGATTGTCGCCCAGATGGTAGTTTTGTTCCTGAACAGTGTGACAAATCCAAAGGTCAGTGCTGGTGTGTAGATAAAAAGGGAAATGAGCTTGTGGGAACAAGAGCTGATGGAAGGCGTACATGCACATCTCAAGGTGGGTGTAAAATCGGCTTAAATACTTCTTCACAAAGTCTTTTTTCTGTCATACTGTTTTTTTTTTTTTTTTTTTTTTTGGCAATTGCTTCTCCAAAGGAGCTAAAAGAATATCGACAGCCATTTTCCCTGTGCTGATTGCCTAATCTTGATTCGAGAGTTCCCTCGAAAGTTAATATTTCCTTATATTCTCACTTTTTCCTAGCCGGAGAGACAAATTGTCAAAAAGATGGGAAACCAGCTTGCGACAAAGACGGTGCTTACGCCCCAAGACAGTGTGATAACATCACTTGCTGGTGTGTAGACCGACTGGGAAGAGAAATACCCAGGACAAGAACTGTAGACAAAAAAGAACTTCTCAAATGTGATGTGACAGGTGCCTATACTTATTCATCTTACAGATAAAATATGATGTTTTATTACATATACACCGATGAAATACTCAGTCAACTTTCGGGCAAAAGCGTGAAATCTTCACACGTAAAGATTACATGTTATCTTTACACGTGAAAAGATCGCTGTTGCTGTGGTTACTTTAAAAAATTATTGAAGTGAAATTATGTAGTATTTCATTGGCGTTTGTATGATGAAAAGAATATTACATGGCCGCACGGAGATACAAAATTTTTCAACACGAGAGGGGAAATTTCGTATCCCTACGCGGCCATGAAATATCCTCCATTGTTAGAAGAATGTGGGAGCTTATTACCTTACAACATCGCTGCATTTGATACAAATTTATTATGGCAAGCGAGAAAAATATTGCTAACAGCAATTATTTGCCAAAAGGAGAAAGAGCATTTACTCCAGCTGAGTCTACGCGTAGGTAATTAATGCATTTAGTGTTTTAAAATCAACATTGATTTGAATATTCTATTTAAGTATCTAAAATGATTTTTTTACAATGAACAAAACATTACATTAATTCACCATTAGATATGAATACATCTTCTCGTTTCCCTTCTCGTCCAACGCGAGGCTATTTTATATCTTCCAGAAATTAATTGCTGATGATTTATTAACTACAAAATATGTTCTCCTTTTTTGTGGGGGGCTTTTTTCCTCTTCTTGTTCTATCCCAAAGCTGGATTAACAAAATGCCAAAAGGAACGGCAACGGAGTTTGGGATGGAATGGAAAACCAGCTCTTGGTGTTTTTGTGCCAGAGTGCGATACAAGCGGAAACTTTAAAGCTTCTCAATGTCAAGAGGCATCAGGGTTCTGCTGGTGCGTGGATGCTGAAGGGAATGAGATTCCAAGAACCCGTGTTAGAGGACGGGCCATTTGTAGGCCTTCAGGTAAGTTTCTCGCTTTGCGCAACTCGTGTCCTCTGACATGCAATATCCCCGTTAACTCCTCGCTACTTAACAACCAACTTATGGTTTCGCTTGTGGGCAAGGTACTTATATCCTTTTTTCTCAGCATAGTGAAGGATTGTTTGTAAATGCTACAATCAAGTAACTTGGAGTTTAAAATCTGTCGAATGTCTGGATAAACTAAAATGTTAGTACTTAGGATTTCATTATCTTCCAGTGCCTATGTTCACGTTAATACTCAACCAACTTAACAGTCACTAGGTCCCCATGTCAGAGAGAACGTCAAAGGTACCTGGGCTGGAAAGGCCAAGTGACAGGATCCTATCAACCAGTATGTAGCGATGATGGGCGCTATGAGCCTGTCCAGTGTAATGCCACCCACTGTTGGTGCGTAGACACTCATGGATATGAGCTCCCGGGAACACTGCGTTTGAGCTTGGGGATCAATCCACAGACCCCCGACTGCACCAAGACACCAGGTATAACTTACATAATAATGTGCTGAAAAGTAGCCTCACTAAGACCATCTTCACAATCTTGTGTGTTCTGCATGTACTGACTTACCATCCTTATCCAAATTAAATTCAGACATGGAAACTGCGCTTTATCCTAAATGTTTAAATCTTAATTCTGATGTCCCATGGCCCAACTCTGCGCAACCTTTCATTTTCAGCACTTACTGACTTCTTTACTGACTTGCTTACTGACTTACCATCATTATCCAAATTAAAAAAGTCTAAGACATGGAAACTGTTAGAACAATGCATCATCCTAAATGTTATGTTTTTGTTTTGTCATGTTCCTTGGTCCGTTTAAACCTCTTAATTAACTTAATTATTGGTTTTTAGTCTACTCAGCTAACATAACAACTTGTCAGAGATGGAAAAGCCGTATACTTGATTTACCTGGTTTTCCAGTACCACCTGGTATGTTTATTCCTGACTGTGAACAAGATGGCAGCTTTAGGTCAATCCAATGTTCTGGAAGTACGGGATACTGTTGGTGCGTCACCAAAGATGGATTTATGATTTGGACAACCAGTACAAGAGGACGTCCCAGCTGCGATAAGAAGGGTAGGTGTATGTTTGGCGTCACAGTAAAGTATATTTTGGAAAAGAAAAACATTTGCCACTGCGTTTATGAAGCTTGTAGGCTAAATATCTTTGGTTCATCAAGCTATTCTTTGGTAATATATATGTCTATAACTGAAATACGACCTCGCCAATATCTTGCATAGGGCCAACTAAATGTGTTAAAGAACAACAGTTGGTAGAAGCACTTAAGAGTCAAAATGGAAATGGGAAAGACTTTACCCTTCTTTGCAATCCCGCCGGTGGATATGAAAGAATGCAGTGTGACGCCTCTATTGGAGAATGCTGGTGTGTTGACAAAATGGGCAACGAGGAACCAGGAACTCGTGTCAGGGGTAACAAACAATATTGCGATGCGCCAGGTAGGATGGGTCATTTACGTTGTTCATATAACCTATCCGAATCACGAATCGTACAGAATTTTTTCACACTTTGATGAATAAGTTTCAGTTAATCATATTGTTCTTAAGATTAAGGATTGAAATGTATCGCGGTATTTCGCGATTTTCTATTAATCCTCTCTTCAAGACGACTAGAAGTGCAGAATACTAAATGTCGATCGCGATCTAAAGTTGAGGCAACTCTGAAGTTGTTAGTGATTCTATACAGTGGGAAAAACTATCAAACGTTCAGTTATCGTGATGACGACGATGAACAAATACATCTTCTATAACAACTTTCATTTGTTATCAGCTAATCTGTCCCCATGCCTAAGGGAACTGAGGAGGGCTCTTGGTTACACCAAAGCGATGATCAAGGAACGCTTTAAGCCGCGCTGTAAGACTGATGGATCGTACGAGAAGATGCAATGTCTAAAAACTGGAGCGAGTAAAGAAACATGTTGGTGTGTAGATAATGATGGAAAAGAGATAATTGGTTCACGTGTCTTAGGCAAGGCATACTGTGATCCCGATACAGGTAAGGAAAGTTTAACCAAGACTCGTTTTCTCTGCCCCATATCACTAGTTACAACCTAGATATCGGCTAAATCCAGGACCTCAGAGAGAACCTGCTGAATCTTTTTGTTAAGGAAAACTGACATCTTTTCCCTATTTCAGTGATACCCACTATGTGTCAGAAACAACGCCGGCTTGCCCTGGGATGGGACAACAAACCAAAGGATGGTGTCTTTGTGCCAGATTGCGGTTCAGAAGGAGCCTACAAGCCAGTCCAATGCTTGCGATCAGAAGGCCCGTGCTGGTGCGTCAACGAAAATGGGATAGAAATACCTGGAACACGAGCTGAAAAAGGGAAGCCGGCCGATTGCTCAGGTAAAGAACTCTTTTGGTCAGGAGATTTTTTGTTCTGTCGGAAGTGTTTTCCTATTTTGTGTTCGTTTGTTTATTTTTAGCTCGTTCATACTGAAAGCAATGAATGAGGTATCGTGTTGGAGCAGATGTTGACGGATGTTGTCGACCGTGGACAGAAGTTGTTTTCCGCCGACAGAAGTTGCATTGTGGACCGTGAACGGAAGTAGTCTCGCATGCTAAAGTCACGTTTTCGAACTTCTGAAAATGCAACTTGAATCGAGAAGCCGAAATGTTCACACCTAGGGGACCCGCAGTGGGTTCATTTCAATACACGCTGTGACCACGCGAAAGAGCAAAGTGGTAGCCATATTAGTAAGCCGCGCATTTGCGTTCGTCTTCAGTTGGTGTAAAGTAATCATTGCTCTATCATTGTACTTTCCCCCGTGAGCTTCTCAACATGCAGTCCACATATCAATCATAGCGGCCAAGACAGTCTCACTAGAATTTTTTTTTCGAGCTCGGTATATTTCGGTCCGGACTTGAGGCTCGCTCGGACAAAAACAGCAATACCAATCCGGTCAGTACAAAATGCAGACTGCAGACTACTGACCGGGTACAAAATGCAGACTAGGTACAAAATGCAGACTGCAGACTAGATACAAAATGCAGACTGAGAATTTATACTGTTTTTTCTTCTGATACGTGATAACATGTCATCTTACAACTTACCGCGCGTCGCGCAATCGCTTTTCCGCGATCACCTTTCACGATTATTTGCTCTATTGTGGAGTATTTCTTGCCCGTTTCTTGATAACAATCATTCTCAATATAATTTCAAGCCTTGATATAGATATTGTTAAATGGAATTCAACATAGTTAACGATTAGGAGCAAATCTGGTCTGTTGCGTTTGGCTAACGTATTGTTAGCGTATTAGCACTTTTGTAGCGTTTGCCTAGCGTTTGTGTGCGTTCTTTAGCGTTGTAGCAACGTGGTAGCTGTTGGTGGCCTGAGGCCGGCCGTGTCCAGTGGTTACCTTTGTCTGTGCATGCGTTGGTTCTCCCATGTGCTATGGCCGCTTTACTAAAAACAGAAGAAAAGGAATATTTCACAATAGTGCAAATGATCGTAAAAGATGAGGGTTACCAATATTTTGCTGCTAGAGCAATATTTGATGCCTGATTATGCCCATCCGACCTCCAGCCCACACAACCTTTTTTCCAATTCTCATCACGACGAACGCACAAGTTTTCTTGTCCCACAACTACCCAAAAATAAAAGAAAATTTGTTCCAGAAGTTCTGAAAGTTCACATAAACCGAATTCAACTGTACCCATATTCAACAAGTCCAAGAAATCGATACAAACTTAAATCATAACATGAATGAGCTGGCTCTAAGAGGTGCTTTAAGTTAGGGGAAGGGCTAAAGCAACTAACCTAAACAGTAATTGATTGATTAGGTGTTCGTCGACAGTGAAATTCCTTTCAGCTCTAAAGTAATAAATGCAAGGGAGACGTTATCAGAGACCTTACAATTGATTTGTATTTCGGTTTTGTTTGGTCAACAGAGTTAGACTATGGAGGAGCAAAAAAACCAACTCGCTGTCTCTTGGACAGAGCACGATCACTGACACTAGATGTCACTCCTTCAAATGGCAACTACATACCCAAGTGCAAAGATGACGGAAGCTATGATCCAGTACAATGTCACGTCGCCCTAAATCAATGCTGGTGTGTGGATCGGTTTGGTAACGAGCTCCATGGCACGAGACAAACTAGTGGAACGCCTGATTGTAGCGACGTCGGTGAGTACAATGTCCACCTACGAATTGGATGGTTTGGAACTTGAAGCAAAACAAAACTGCAAGCGCACACTACTAAATCAATGTCAAAAAGGGAATAAATCTTTTGTTACTATGTGAAAAAGGCGGCCAATGTGTTGCAAGTGCTGTTTTGTCTCTTATCGAGAGAAACAGCGACTGCTCATCAGAAGACAGTATTGTTCATTCGTAATCTGCAGCTATCGTGATCTTACACGTCCAACTATTTACGACTTAAAGTCAGAGTAATGCATATCATGACGTTTTGAAATGTCAAGTGAAACCTATCAGTGATCACTGGCACCAAATGACTTCTTGTAGAGATATTAATCAGCTCTCTACGACTAAAATCATCCGTTCTGCTCTTAGAGGCCTCCAATATCCAACCGCCCTGCACCTGCTGGAATAGGATTTTCAGGAACTGGTTGTTGAACCATTTGTTTACCTGATTATTTTCAGAGCTATATGATTATTAATTTTTAACTCTAATGTAGATTCTAAGTTAACCCTGTGCCAGAGGAAAAGAATGGATATCTTACATAGTGTTAGTTCATTTGGTCATTATGTGCCAACGTGCTCAAAGGACAATTCGTACGAAAATGTCCAGTGCCATCCTTCGACTGGCTACTGTTGGTGTGTTGACCAGAACGGAAATGAGTGGCGTGGAACAAGAGGAAAGGGAAGGCCTCTTTGTGATCATACCGGTAAGCTACTAGATATCAAATAAAATGCTACACTGTTCTCTATCTTAAATTCCCATGCTTTTCATCCCAGTGCCTATGCACAGTAACAAAATTATAGGGAGATGGAAAACGTGCCTTAACCTCCTTACAAATACAATCATTAGAATGTACATGTTCCTAAAAGCATTCTCTTGGTGTGATGGGCTTGTGAATGATAGATTTTTATCCATAAGCTGTATAAGAAAAAAACTTACTTTTATTGAATATGTTCTGGAATGCCAATTGATGCCCTTCGTTTTTTCAGCTGGTTTGACGCCTTGTTTTAAGGAGCGTTACGACGCCTTTGGCTTAGATAGAATACCTCCTCCTGATCGCTTCATACCCAAATGTACGCAGTTAGGAGAATACAAAAGACTCCAATGCAGCGGTTCAACTGGCTATTGCTGGTGCGTAGAAAGAAACGGGAAAGAAATAAGAGGAACACGGAAGAGAGGAAGTCCGCCTCACTGCCTCAAAGATGGTAAGTCCTCAATTACGATCCCTTCATTGACCTATTTGATAGGCTCGATATCTGTATGGTTTTGCTACATAAGTCTAATTTTTCATTTTCTTTATTAACTTTGTGATATCTATTTGATAGGCCAACTACCTAGATGTCTGCGTGAACGTCAGTTTGCCCTGGGCTGGCATGATGTTGTTGTCCCTGGACTGTTCATCCCTGAATGCACTACTGGCGGAAAATATGAACAAATCCAGTGTAACCCCTCGTCTGGGTATTGTTGGTGCAGTGACAGCGAGGGTCATGCTTATACTGATACGAAAGTTCGTGGGAAACCTGACTGCTCCAATTTACCAGGTAAGCAACGAACCTGCTTCACAAACGGTGGCCTTGGGGTTAGAGCTGGACTCTTAATCAAGAGGTACTGGTCGGCGCCCTGAACATGGTGCAATATGTATTTTGGTGTGAGACAGTTTACCACATCACCATACCCTTTTCAACCAGGAGCACATCTTGATGCCAGGAAACCGTGTTGGAAACCTGAAAATTCCTGGAGGCTACATGCAATAGACTCACATTGCTTCCAGAAGGAGTCGCTTTTTCGTAGTCGCTTAGTGTTGTAGATTCTAGTTATGAACATCGGTACACGTGGCTCTAATAAGCTTGTTTTCGCCAGGTCGTTAGCATTTTGATTTAGCACGTCTGAAAGTTTTTTTAGGGACTCACCATATTGAAGATAATAAACGTTTCCGACATGTATCTGATAAAAATTTGTCCAAAAAAAAATTCATCATCCTTCAATAAATTTTAATTCACACTGTGATCGACTGTAACTAACCTCTTTCAGGTGACGTGGGCAATTGTATTAAAGATCAAGTTCAAGCTAGTGTATGGTCAGCAGATTTCGCCATCGTTTTCTCTCCTGAATGCAATAAGGATGGCAGTTTCAGAAGGGTACAGTGCCAAAAGTCGACTGGATACTGTTGGTGTGTCGATCGCAGAGGAAATGAACTCTGGGGAACGAGGATCAAAGGGCAACCAGACTGTAGCAATATCAGTGAGTGATCTCGAGGCCGTGTTGGAAAGACATGAAAATTTATTTTAATATTAAGATGAAATCTTCGTTCTAAAAAATTTGCGGTATCAATATGGATGTGAACAGCAATACGGGCGTATGAAAGTAAAAACATAACTTCAAGTTAAGTCGAGTGTGATGTGCATTTAAGAGCACATAAAGTGGCCCAATAACACGTTCAACATTTCCGTACTAATCTTTTCCATAATGTTCATACTGCTTGAGAAAAAGAAAGTTTGCTTAACATCTTTCTGTGTTTATCAACATAGGTGGAAAGAAAACAACCTGCGAAATGGAAAGCAGTGAAGGTTCGCAAGTTCAGCAGACTCGTTTCCAGATCACTCGCTTTATCCCCCTCTGTGATAGATATGGTGGTTACCGAAATGTCCAGTGTGGACCTCTCGGGGAATGTTGGTGTGTGGATCGATACGGTAATGAGTTGCCAAGAACAAAGACCAAAGGAGTGCCTCACTGTGGAGCAGATGGTTAGTCCTGCCGAAAATTATACTTATTCACTTTGCCGCTTTTGGATGAAATTAGCGAGAAACTATGTAGCTAAATTTATGAAAGGTGCTCGCAATAACGAAAAAATATATGAATTTGTCGCCAGTGTAAGAAAATGAGACATTGGCATTCCATTGTTCCGGACATATTCGATATATCTATATACATTTAATCTCTTTTTATTTCACCACAAATAGTTGGACTTAAGCGTTGTCAAAAAGAAAGGCTTGCTGCATTAGCATTAAGAGGAACAGCCCCGCCTGGTGCATTTGTACCACAATGTAAAAACGATGGCGAGTTCAAACCAGTCCAGTGTGCACCAACTGGGGACGAGTGTTGGTGTGTAGATCACAATGGCAGACCTATTCCAAGGACGACGTCAACCGGCCAACTGAGCTGTGCCGACGCAGGTTTGTCTGATAAGAATACTTAATCTTGAGTACATCCAGGTAAAAGAAAATTCAAAAGAATATAATGTTCGGTCAACAATATTAAAAAAGGTAGAATCGACAAGTGTGAGCCTACTTCCCCTAAATTCAGTCTTTCCTTGTCGAACCGCTTAAAATAAAACATGTAATTAAAGAAACGGGTTGTGCGTGGCCAAATCCTTGATCGATATGCGTTACTTACCCAAAATTCAGCTCATATTTTCCTTAAAAATCCTGCACCGAGTGCCTCAGGCCTGAGAGGAAAATACTGCAAACTAGATAGCAGTGAGTATCACTAATTTCAAGGTATCATGTCCTATTCTCTATACAGCCGGTCTAACCGAATGTCAGCTCGATAGACTGCATGCAGCTGGCAGACCTGGCGAATTTCAACCTGAGTGCACTAGCGATGGACAGTATAAACCTGTGCAATGTGAAAACGGTATCTGTTGGTGCGTGGATCGGTTTGGTAATGAAATTTATGGAACGAAGACTTATGGAGCTCCCCAATCAAGGTGCCCCAACAAATCATCGCCAGGTATTTGGTACTTTTTATTCAACACAGGCTCTTTTCACAGATTATTGCTTTCAAATTGTACCATTATTCTGCTAAGGAAATAAAAGAGCCTTGAAATTAAGAACGGCCTAGGAAGACATTGGGGCTTTGTTTCAGCCAGGTTGATGGAAGACAAAAGTGCTTTAGGGTTATCAAGGAGAACTGATCGTATATTCGACCTCGCTACATTTAGGTGTAAAGACTAATTGCCAGAAGGAGAGGCAAGTAAGACAACTGCAACCAGTGGTTTCAATGAAGATGCCTCTTCAGTTCCTAAGACCAAGTGGCCCGTGGTGGTCTATGGTGAGGTGCGATGGTAACGGGGGCTACCGCTCTGTACAGTGTCACCGAGGCACTCCGGTGTGTTGGTGTGTCGATAAGTATGGACGAGAGATACCCAGGACTAGATTATCGGGAAAGCCTACATGTGGACCAACGGGTACGTATCTAACCCTGGAGAAGACTATAAAGTCAACCCATGTCTGTGATAATTAACTGCATTGTAATCATATCACATTTGCAGCTGGGCTCACAATGTGTCAAAAAGAACGTCAAGCAGCTCTGGGTTGGAGAGGAATACCAGCAGTTGGAAAATTCGTTCCATCGTGTCGACCAGATGGAGAATACCAGGTTGTTCAATGTAGCCCATCGAGTGGTTTCTGCTGGTGCGTTGATAAGAATGGAATTGAGAAACAGGGTACTAGAACTCGTGGCGCACCAAGTTGCGGGCTAATGGGTTAGTACATTTTAGACCGTTTCTGTACATTCAGCTGATTCTCCATTTGATGTATTGGATATTTGTTCATTTGTTTTCTTAGCTCACTTGACAAGGTGTCAGAAAGAACGAAGAACAGCATTAGGTCCATTAGAAAGTGCACCACCTGGACGATTTGCCCCAGAATGTGACAGTAAGGGCCAGTACATCAGTGTACAGTGCTACACTGCAACTGGCTACTGCTGGTGCGTAGACTCGCTAGGTCGAGAAGTTCCTGGAACAAGGAAAAAGGGAAGAGTCAGCTGCCCAGATAAAGGTTGTTGTTTTCATTTTGTATTCATTGCTAGAGCTTCACTAAATTTAGGGTTTTTGGTAAAAGAAAAGAAAGCTTTTATCAAAGGTCCTTCTAGTGCACTGCTTTATGTAATACTGGGCTAAAGCTTAACCCATGTTTCATGATTTTCGAGGTGACGTTTAGCTCCTCTCCTGTTCCTGTAAGAAGGCAAGAGCGCACTGAAGGACGACTGAAAATGCCATTTTTAGAGTCGTTAACATACTTTAAATTTGAATGTTACCTTGACGGTTTCTGTTTTTTAAACAACTCTAAAATTATCTTCATCAACCCTATTCCGTTTTCTTGCAGTGGAGCGCAATAATTGCAATTACGAAAGAGAAAGGTTGGTTAAATCTGGAATACCAGACGTACCATTACCTGATTGCGATCGTCAAGGAAGTTATAAGAAAGTGCAATGCACCTACCTTTGGCAGTCTAATGAATGTTGGTGTGCCGACAGCAAAGGAAATGCTTATTGGAATACGTCTGTGATGAACGAAATTCCTGACTGTTCCGAAGGAGGTACTCAGTAATCAGATTGTTCAGATTACAATTCTGATTGACAATAATATATTTCACCAATTTGATAATGAAATTTCTCCATTTACAAAGCTTGCCAAGTTTCACGATTAAAGCCTGCTCCAAGTGACTGCTACGCGATTTCATATGGTACTCTGAAAAATGCCATAAGTTAAACATAACTGCGGTATTTTGTGACTAAGCAAAAATTATATGGTAAGGTCGAAGATAAATTTTAGGAGTATATTTGAAAGATAATTTTTAGACATTCTTAAAACAATCGCACAACTAACGTCCTTGAATTACATTGTAGTGCTGAGCAAGCTCCGAACTGAATGCCAAAAGAAAAGAGACGATGCCCTTAACTTCCGTACAGTGAATATCAATATCAACAGAGATGTTCCTCAGTGCAAACCAGATGGTAGTTACGATGATATTCAGTGCTCAGCGACCACGGGACGATGTTGGTGTGTGTACTATAACAATTTGCCTGTCTTGGGTACTGAAACAGATGCAAAACCATACTGTCCACAAACGGGTAAATAATTAGATTTTTTACTGGCTTGGATTTATTGACTGGTTGTACTTGAATACGTGACTCCAGTTCAAATGAACTGTTAGATAAATTTAACTTTACGTGTGGTGATTTATGACATTTTCCATACGCTCGTAGCGTTTCTCTCAGTTTGTCAAAGGTTCTCACAAAATATACAGCTTAAAAAGGTCTTTTGGCAACCGTAACTGCAAAACTTACCCTCATATTTATATGCGAATTTTTGTTTGATTCTTCAAGCTGGGTTAACCCCGTGCTTAGCAGAGCGTATTAATGCAGAAGGTTACACTGGTTCAACTCTTCCCGGTCGTTATTCACCCGACTGTGATAGAGATGGTAATTACAAACCCTTGCAATGTCACATTGCCAGTGCTGTCTGTTGGTGCGTTGATAACCAGGGACAAGAAATACCAGGTACCAGGGGAAAACGGAGAAAACAATGTCCAATACCAGGTAATTCTTAACAATTTTTAATACATTCCTGCCTTTTACTATGCTCGACTCTGAGCTAAAGGACTATGTCTTATCACTATTTTCTATTTACTGGATCTTTTAAAAAGCTTATGAGAGTCTTAGAAAAAAGATTGTGATTATTTGATAATATCTAGGCGTCCAACAAACAAAATGTCAGGATCAAAGAGAACGAGCCCTCCAAAACGGAGCCCTTGGAAGTTTTATTCCAAAATGCACAGAGGATGGCAGTTTCGAAAAGATTCAGTGTCACGGCTCGTTTTGTTACTGTGTTGACAAGGATGGCAATGAGATCTCTGGAACCAAAACAAGTCTCCCTGGTACACCTAATTGCCTTGTTCCAAAACCAACAGATGAGGGTAGGTGGAGCACTTTGACTGTATTAAATTTTAAAATGTTTTATTAAGAATAGCTCAAGTCAAAATAATAAGTTTTATTTTTCCGTGATAAGGGCTTATGTTGAGAGCAAATCAATACAAACTCCTCTTGGTTCTAGAAACAACAGCGCTTGGATATATTTAGATTTCTTCAAATGAATGCGTTGAGTAACTTTGTCGCCATCATCAATAACGTTTCTTGTAGATCCAACGAAAAGCTTATGTAAGGAAAAGTACCGCCAAGCTATGGAAAATTACAATATTGGCACGTTTGTTCCGCAATGCAAATCAGATGGCCGATATGAAGAGGTGCAGTGTGGAGCTGGATGGGACTATTGCTGGTGTGTCAATTCAATTGGCACAGAAATCTCTGGAACAAGAAGAAAGGGGTGGCCTCAGTGTGGTAAGACGTGTGCTGTTAGTAATACAATTAGTATCCCTCCTCTTGTATGGTTTTGATTTGTATGGTGAACCATGCATGCTTAAGTGTGTCTTATCAGCTTTTTAGGCTGCCGAACCGACTCTATTCGCAGCTTAAAGGAAATAGCTTTCTCTTCTTGAACTCGGCTTGGCGACGAGGCTTTTATTTACCCATCGAGGAGACTGTCATAATATATGGCTGGGGGAAAATCGGCCTGTCTTTTAACAGCGGACAGCAATTTACTAAAAAACCTTCAGTGGAATAGAAGTTTGTAGTACCGTATCATGGCACCAGAGATTTCATGAATGCCTGCCGTTTGAATAATAGTGATAAAAAGCTGTCATTCAATTGCAGCACCTTCAACTGGAGTAGATGTTGCATTTGTCATCGACTATGCCTCAACTTCAGACACCATAGCAAAGTTATCCACCTTTGTGTCTTCTGTTATCGATGGACTGGATATTTCTCCAACTGGAGCTAACGTGGCTCTTATCACTTACGGAACCAATGCAACAGTAGTTTTCCCATTCAACGCTCTGCAAGGCCAACAAGTGAATAGGGATGAAGTCAAAATACTGATGGACACTGCAACTCCGATGCCAGGCAGACCTCGAATAGACAGAGCTTTACAACTGGCCGACAAGCAACTGTTCACTACAGAAGCTGGCTCGAGACCAGGAGTACCGAAGGTATGTCTTTTACTTGATTAACTTTCCGAAAGAAACTACCCTTAAAGCTTTAGAGAAAGATTAGGAAAACTTTGATATTTTCTCTTTATTTACAGAGTTATACTTTGCACAAGAAAATTATTTGTTTGATAGCTATTCGCTTTGAATGGAGGGAATCTCTTAGTGTTTTGGCTGTCAGTGCTCGAGTGAAGAATTTAGTTTTACCAAAAAAATTCTATTAAGTTACATTAAAGTGAAGAGCAAGATTCACCCACTGATGGATATAATGATGGATGGATCGATTACTCGATAGGGTTGATTGATTGCTTGATTTTATTCCCTCTAGTTCCTGATTTTGGTGTCGCTGAATACGAAAACCAAAGACCCTGATCAAACACCGCTCATCAAAGCATCGCAAGGAGTCAGGAGTAGGGGTATTAGAGTTTTCGCAGTCGGAATCGAGCCCAATGTCGATCAACGCGATTTGGAGGATACCACATTCAAGCCATCTGATGTCTACATCATTCCTTCCGATAAGTTACCAAGCACAGGGAAAAGAGTAGCTAACACCATCAATGGATTTGTAGATGATCCTGGCCGTCAAACTGGTCAGTACTTCAGTCTGTTTTTTTAACGCCTTAGTAAATACATCTTCTTTTTAAGATACCGTTAAGTAATGGCAATCGTGTTACTAAATGTCACTCGGTCGAGAAGCTCAAGCACACAATTTTAGAAACGTGGCTGAGTCTTTTCCTTCATATGTAAAGGACTAACTATTAATATAGAAAGGCCGTGCAAAATGTCTGTAATGATTAAAATTGACGAAAAGGACGAGTGAATTCCAATAAATTTGAATTTACATAAGATGTAAAATAATAATTTTAGATGAGCACAGATAGAACATTTCCGAAGCACTTCTGACTTAGTCGTGAGCTAAATTGTTAGTTAAAAGACAACTAAAATCGTATTCAAATGACAGAGTGAAATAATTTCCTCAATCCACAGACCTTACAGCAGCCGCTGATATTGGAATTTTACTTGCGTCCTCTCCACAAACAACACCAACCAAGTGGTCATCAATTCTTGATGATGTGAACTCTGTGGTGGATGCATTTGCGGTATCAACACGTAGCACTCACTTTTCGGTTGCTACAACGGGCAAGGTTCCTAAGGTGGCCTTAAGGTTTAACACCCTAGAGGGTTCAGACTACAATTTGAAAGAGGTAAAAAGACGCATATCGCAAATTCCGTATGAAGAAGTTGATGACACACGGCTTGACCTGGGACTTCAGGAGGCGGCTGATGTAATGTTTACTGAGCGAAGTGGAATGAGGGTTGAAGCTTCAAAGGTTCGTTCGGTTGTTGTTTGATTGTCTGTTTGTACTGCAAAGAAATGTTTCGTTAAATAGATTCAAAGGAATTACGACTCTAAGGTCCAGAAAATATGGCCAAAGCCCTCCCACTGCAAACTGTAATTGGCTCCCTTACCAAAATTTTGTTTTACAAAACGGACCCAAACACGCTTTTCTTTTCGCTTTCCAATAAGCTTCAAGCTCCTGTTATTGGACATTTTATTCTATCGCTTTATCGATCATGTGAGCTTCGCACAGTTTAAGAATCATAAAAACTTGTACCTTCCTTTCAAAACAGACGAATGTTGTAATAAAAAAGAAGTTCAACAAAATACACACAAGTAGGCGAAAAAGATAGTTCCGGCAGTAGAAGTGATAATTAAACTGGCAGCACAACGCTTTATCTTAACTGCTTCAAAACTTTTGTTCCGGGCAGTAAAAACTTATTGCGACTGTAATGTGAAGTTATTACGTCTCCATTTTAGGAAGATGTTTTGATTCATTTTCCTTTTGAGACCTAAGTTAGTATATGTTACCTTTATTTTTAAACATAGTTCTTAGTGGTGGTCGCGGATGGAGACCAGTCAAAGGATCCCCAAGCAATTCCTTTGGCCAGTGTGGCTCAAAAGGTGAAAGACAAAGACGTAGAGGTGTTTGCATTCTCAACAAAACCTAGACGAGATACCAATGAGGATGACCTGAACGTAATAGCATCTGGAAATGATAATGTTTATTTTGTCGCACCCAATGATCCAGCGCCTGCCATTACCACCAAGATAACACAAAAGGTTAAAAACCTTGTGAGAGGTAATTAACAATGATTTTGATTTCTGGCTGCTAGTGAATCACTGCTGTCTTCTTCGGTTTCTTTTTTTCTGATATGTTTTAATGGTATGTTTTTTAATTTCCTTTATGCAATGCCATATATTTGTCGAGTGCGCTGCGTCAATAGTTAACTAGCTTCATATTTCTTCCCCCTCCTCTACGAGGGAGACCGTTAGATACGCCTTCATCTGAGGGGGTACATTATAGTGTGTATATTCATAATGAATATGACAGAAATGTTCACTGTCTACCCTGTAGCTAAATATATAACTTTTGTTTTTAAATTACGCAGAGCGTAACTATCCAGTAGACATAGCCTTTTTGATTGGATCATCATCCACAACAACACAAGCTCAGTGGAGATCTACTCTTGATTTTGTGAAGTCAATCGCTGACCGATTCCCCGTGTCTGAATGGGGAGCCCACATGGCATTGATATCTTTTGACACTTCACCAAGAGTCGAATTCGCATTTAATGAGCTAAATGGGCCACAGATGAATAACTACGAGGTACGCAGGTTGATTGACAGAGCCGAATACAAAAATGGACCCACAAGGATTGATCGCGCCCTAAGGCTTGCAAACACATATCTCTTCACTCCTGCGGGAGGATCACGCAGAAATGCAGTGAAGGTAGGAACATACATTTTTAGAATATAATTGTAGGAGACCTTCTACCCTGTTACAGAGCATTTCAGGGAGTAAAAGGTGGACGAATTGTCGGCCTTTTCAACAAAGCGTACTCAAGCTTCAATTTTACTTAGTATCCAATATTTCGACTCGTCCTCGCTTTTGATAACAAACAGCAACACACAAACACCTGTGAAGAAGAGCTCAGGAAAGTAATAATAAAAAAAATAGAATGTTCCCGTGCTGCAGCGCTTTTTATAGTCAAATGAATAGTGATGAAAAATAATACCAAATCCCTTTAATTTTCTTCTTCAGATCTTGTTCATGATAACAGACTCCGGACAAGCCCCGGACCAACGACCCTCCATAAATCTTAATCAGGCCTCGCTCCCTCTAAAAAACAAAGGAGTGTGGATCTATGCTCTTGGTATAGGTGACAGAGTTCCCGAAAAAGACTTGAATGACGTTGTATCACGACCACAAAATGTTTTCAGACCGGTTACCTCTACAAATGACCTCCCACAGAGAAGAGGAACAGTAGTAGATACGTGGAGGACGTACTTGAGAGGTTCGAACAAGCTATGTGTATATTTTTTAACAATGGATATCCTTGGAAAATATATAAAAATTTCTCACGTGTGGGATAACGATTTCCCTTCGGCCTCGTCTATAACCTGATTTCTACTTTTTATTTGGAAGATTATCATTTTGTTAAGAATTTCAAAGAAACTTATTTTAACCTTTTCATTTTTCCTAAGATCGCTGGGTCGGTATAGACATTGGTTTTGTTGTAGAAGCTTCCGACAATGTGACACCCCAAATGTGGAGATACTTCAAAGACCTCGTAAAGAGAACGGTTGACCGTTATCACGTTGCACCAAGAGCTGCGAATATTGGAATGATTACTTTTGGCAACACTGCCTACGAATGGTTTAACTTCAACACCCTACCTGACGAAATATTAAATAACTATGAAGTGAAACGTCTCGTGGATAGAGCCACTATTCGTGGAGGAACACCCAGAATTGACCTTGGCCTACAGATGGCTGAGATCTCATTGTTTACCGAAGCAAAAGGCATGAGGAGATGGGTTCCGAAGGTGAGGTCTTTGGCAGAAGAAAAAGGCTATAGTACTCTATTAACGTAAAAGTGTTCATGCATTACTGAGAAAACGTTTCAGAGGACACTGAGGCTGACATATTTTCACATTTTCACACCTTCAGCGATTGCACATATAACTCTAGTTACTGCACCTTTCTCCCCGTACGGGAAAGTAAAGTTGATTTGCCAACACAAAAATTTGACGTACCATGAAATTCACCTGCATTAGGTAAAAACAGGCTCCTGGCTGAAACGTACCTTTGTTATATTCCAGTTTTTTTCCCTATATTTTACCATTTCATCGCGCCTTTGTTATGTTTGAGAATTTTCTTGAGGAATATTCTTATTTTTTTTGGTAGTTCCTCTTTGTGATAACGGCGAGTATACAGTCAAGGTATCCGGACAGGTATACACCCCTAGCAACTGCATCTCAAGGACTGAAGGATCGAGGAGTGCAGGTGTACGTCCTGGGTGTAGGACCCAATGTCGATGATCAGGAGCAGACTGACATCGCGTCACGTCCTCAGAATGTTTACACATCCCCGCTTGACCGTTTGCCAAGCTTTGGACCAAAACTCTGGAAAAATTGGAGAGAATATATACGTAACAGAGGTGCCTTTCAGATTAAACTAGTTTTTCCATTCGAGGAACATACAAAGTATATATCAACTAACATGTAATCTTTCCTCACCTGTTTAGGTCTTTATCCTGCAGCAGACGTAGCATTCCTTCTCGGCTCGTCGCCTCGAACAACACCCCAGACGTGGAACGCATTCCAGACATTTGCAAAGACGGTAGTAGACGTTCTTGGCGCATCACCTGACGGTATTCATTACAGCGCTATTGCGTTTAACTCAGAACCCCGCGTAACATTCCGATTCAATACAATACAAAGACCCCAATACACACGGGATAATGTCAAACGCCTTATCGATGACATGCGGTACACGAGAGGAAAGACACGCATCGACAAGGCGATGGCTCTTGCCAATACTGTTGTATTCACATCTCAGTCTGGCATGAGAAGAGATGTCCCACGGGTAAGCTACCATTATCATTTACTTCAGTGGCCTAGACGATTGTGAAAATGTTTAAACAGGCACTCTCTGATAGTTCGAAAATTATGTCTTGACATGATTACCCCTCATGATACCTTAAGTCTTCCAAGAGGAGAAAAGCGTAAAAGTAAAAATGTGCTAATTATGGGATACTTACTTGAGTCTATTAAAGGTAGAGAATAAAGACTCGGAAAGTGTCTACCAATCATTTGCAACTGAAGGAAATTCTGAACACCAGATGCAAATTGAGTTCTATGTTAATTGTACTAAGGCTGTCGTGTGCAGCAACATTCCGTTTGAGTTACTGATCTCTTTCTCTTTGTAAATAGTTAGCTTTTGAGGTGAAGACAACACCTGCGTACAACAAACATCTTTGCATTGCAAATGTTTGATCTGCACTTTTCACCCATAGTTACTCAAATACATAAAGGCGTCCCGACGGAATTCATCTTCAGTAGCTTTCTTGCCCTCACTCTTACCTTCACATGTTTACCATTTGATCTACTTTTTCGTTTTTGTTTTTCATTGTTTTGATCTTGTCAGCTGATAATCGTCTCGGTTGATGGGCCACAAGACAAAGATATGATCTCATACACTCCTTTGTTCAGAGCATCACAGCCACTAAGAGACCGAGATATCGTCATTTACGCAGTCGGAGTACGACCTTACAGTCCCGAAAAAGAACTGGAAGACCTTACCTCTGACAGGTCGAGGGTCTTTTTCTACTCTATAGACGAGCTTCCTAGACGTACTCCGCAAGTTTTGAACAGGTTTTACGATTACTGGCGAAATAGACTGCGTCCAAGAGGTAACTACGTTTAGTGTCGTAATTTACCCCCTCCTCCCCCAGTAAAAAAGGTAATTGTTTAGTTGGAATTAATCCTCCTCTCACCCAGCTGAGTATGTTATTTTGCCTTGTTAATAAATTAGTTTTCTTGTACTATACAAATTATTTTATAAGTACCTAAAAATGAACTATAAAAAAATTGTTTGGCGTTTTAATGTCTTTGTGTAATGATCGTTAAGTGTAGAAGAGTGTATTTAATAAAATTCCCATAAGCTGTGCGCAGTGAAAACAGTGCTGGTTTCAGGAGCTGTTACCGCCATCAGCATATGGGAGAGCATGGACATTCTGATATTGGAAAAAAATTGAATGACGCACATAGTCTTAGTCAAAGAAAGGTGCTGAAGAATTCGAAAATGTTTAAGGAATGCCGCAGCTAACTCGAGTGTTTTATCTTTGAGATACTTTTCTGTTGGAAGAAACTACCAAAGCTTAACACGCAAACGGATTCAATTAACACAAGCCTTTTCTTGGTTACAAGTCTATTAGTTAACGGTATCCATTACTTCAGGCTGTGCAATTCCCTTTATTATGATGAATCATGTGTTTAACTTTGCCTATAGATCCAACGAACACCAAATGTAGACAGCAGTACCGCACAGCATTGAAAAACTATGTAGTTGGACGGTATGTACCTCGTTGCAGACCAGATGGTTCTTTCGAGCCTCTTCAGTGCCAGAGTTCCGTCTGCTTCTGTGTTGATCGATATGGAAAAGAAATTCCTGGTAGCCGAAAATCTGCGTATAGTCCCCCGAACTGCGTGAAATATGGTAGGTATTGATAATTATGCTGTACAGATAGTGCTATTATGTGAAATCATCACTATCTGAAGCAAAGTGACTGTTAACTTAATAGAAAGTGTTGTTTGATACAGCTAGTTAAATATCAACGTAAAGGTTATACGTTGAACTGACCGCAGCCGAGAATTAGGACAAGGTAAAAGCCTGGAAATATCGACTTTTTTAGTACTGCTTTCATGGTTCGTTGATAATCAACTTAAAGTTATCCTTGGAAACAAATCGTCAATTCCCACTTGAACGTTACTATTGCTTCGTGTTCCTTGATATCGTAGCATTACCGACTTCCAAGACACGTCATTTTCAAGAATCTCTCTTGTTCACAACGTAGATAACCAGTTGTCAGAAATTTACATTAGAAATGGAAGGAGTATAGAATATTCCACACAATTGAAATTCCCTTAAACAAACAAAAGCGCCATGGTAGTCGACAAATAATCCGATCAGAACACTGGGATTCATTTACAATTTATAGTCAACCCACCAACTGAGTGTCAAAAAAAATACAAGGAAGCCGTGGCTCAGCGTCTGTATGCTAAAGGTGGATACGTACCACGATGTCTGCCAGATGGAACATACGAAGAAGTGCAGTGCGGGGGTGGTTACTGCTGGTGTTTGAGTAAGTCCGGATCAGCTATAAGCATCACCAGAGGATGGCCATCATGCGCAACTGGAGGTTAGTTTGAGTAAAGGTTGTAACAAATGCAGCGGTTGACCTTTTTAACTTGACATACAGTTCTGCGGCTAACATTTCTCTTGAATATATGAAATAATGTAAAAGATAGTTAATTTGAAGCGGACTTATCACGTCTTTCGGGAAGATTCGAACCTGATACTCACTAACTTCGGGGTCGTGTGGTCTACCAACAGGCAACAGCGAATTTTTTATTGGTTGGGCTTCATGCTAGGTTTATTTGTTACAAGTATCCCGCTTTCCTTTTTTTATATCGTTTTGCCCTGTGATATCCACGGATTTTATGTAAAACGATACTTTGTATTACAGGTAAACCACAGACACCCTGTCAGAGGCAATACCAGAAAGCTCATAAATTCCCTTACAGTGGAACCTACGTCCCTCATTGTACACCCGCTGGCAAGTACTTCCCTGTTCAGTGCGAAGGATCTGTATGCTTCTGTGTAGACGAACAGGGAACGGAACTCAAGAAAACAGCGAAAATGCTACCATCGTATCCATCGTGTGATGCAACTTCAGGTAAAAGTTTATCAATAGTGTTTATTTAAGCATGCAAGCTATTTTTCTTTTGTGAATTTCAACGTGAAAGGAAAGGGCTCGTCTTGCTAGCCAAATTATTTACTTTGTCGAAAATAGGCCATTTTCTGTACCAAAAATGTTACGTAACGACATTTCTCGTAAATACGGATAATTTGGCTAACTTTACAATGAAAATTATCTTTCGATAAATATCGGATTACCTCATTCTGTTACATTAGGACAGATTTACATTTTCCTCATACTTTTAGACCTTCCTCTGGCACCTTGTGAGCGGGAGAGAAAGTCGGCAACTGAAAAACATGTCGTTGGCCGATGGGTACCACAGTGTCAAGAGGATGGTTCCTACTACCCCGTGCAGTGCGCCACAGGTTGGGATTGTTGGTGTGTCGATGACAATGGCAGAGAAATTCAAGGGTCCAGAAGAAGAGGCTGGCCTGACTGTGATCAACCTGGTAGGAACTGAACAAACTTGTAATGCCTCCTATGTACTTGATGTTCATTTGTCTGTGTAAGCACTGAAGATTTAGTGTATTCAATTTTGTTATCCATTTTTTTTTAGTAAAGAGACAGCCTGAATGTCGACGACACTTCAAAGCAGCTTTACTCCGCCTTCTCCCAGGAAGATTTGTCCCTCGTTGCAAAGCAGATGGCAGCTATGATCCCACCCAATGCGCTGGCTCTGTATGTCTTTGTGTGGATAGCCGTGGTATAGCAATCCCAGGAACGTCAAAAGCACGTTTCCAACAACAAAACTGCGAATCACAAGGTAAAGATCGTTCTTTTGCAACTACAAAAGATTTTAATTTGATTATTTTTGGAAGAAAATAGATTACTCTCATATTTTAAACATTTGGAATGCTCCTCAGGATGGAGATTGACAACATGCCAGCGACACTTCCAACAAGCCTCTCGCTCTTCCTCTTTCTTTATTCCGAAGTGCCGCCACGATGGTCGTTACAAAGATGTTCAATGTTATGGAAGTACATGCTTCTGTGTTGGCAGAAATGGTTTGGATTTAGGTCTCAAAAGAACTTTGTTACCTCAGCTTCCAACCTGTCCACTCACACCTGGTAAGGAGATAAAGTTTTTATCAGGATCAGGCGCACTGCAGGTTTTTATACGCTAATTTTACCCCAAGGTAGTCTTTCGCCCAATGGTTAAATTTTTCCTAACCTGGAAAGCTAAACAGATGCTCATTGTAGTTTGAGAGAGGCAATAACTCTTCCATAACAATGCCTTATGAAAGAAAAGCGTCTTGGTCGAGAGGAAAAAAAATTTAGCCTGTTCTGGGGAGAAACTCTCTTGATGTAGTATCCAGAAAGAGTGCAAGGGGCAGAATGCTCAAACGGCAAGAATGTCTAACGGTTGCCAAAATTGAATCTAATTGCAAATTCACACTATTTTTTCCCTAGATCGTCTTTAAGTCACAAAAAAACTTGAAAACGAGAGCAAACTGAAACATTGCGCGCTATCTGTGTCCTCGTTCATCGTTCGCGCCTATGGAGCTGATTTATTAAATAATTTGGATTAAGTTCAAAAGAGTGCATGGCTAGGCAGCCTTCAAGCTATTCAACTTTTTTGCTTTCTTAATTTTTCTTCCTAAGTCTTTGTATTTTAATTTTAAGATTCAGATCCTCCAAGCAGACCCCTGACACCTTGCGAAAGGCAGCGAAATGCGGCCCAGCGCTCGCCAGATACATTCGCACCTTTTTGCACATCGGACGGATCTTTTGATTCAGTCCAGTGCAGAGGGTTGATGTGTTACTGCGTGGATAGTAGCGGAAAGACCATAGAAGGAACGGACATTCCTCGCCCTTATCGACCGGACTGTTATGGTTAGTTTTACGGACATGAGAAGAGAATTACAATAATTATTTCGAAAATAGTGAAATAACATGTAAGACGAGATATAAAAGTCCCTTGTTCGTTCAGTTCCAAAGCACAAGAGTAGGGAGTTAACACAAAGTTTTTTGCATTAACCAAGGCTCAATTCTACACACTGGAATCATAAAGAGATTCAGTTCCAGAGGCTTTATAAGTACAAGCACTATCGAAAAGTTAAACATAAAATTGAAAGTCGGAATAACTTATGATTGTAGGACCCTCCTTTGACTTTTACATAGAGCTAAATGTAAGTAAGCAAGTAAGTGACAAACTCATTTTTGGAGGGTGACGCACAACGGTATAAGCTGATGAACTAGTGGTCCTCTTTCCCAAACGATTTAATAAAAGAGTTAATCAAGAATAATCAAGTTGAAAACTGATACCTATAGCTCATCTTGTGCATGCTTCTTGTTTGAATTGTTGACTCACTAGGTCCCAAGCCTAGTAAGTGCCAGGAAGCTTACCTCTCTGCACTGAGAAGCTACTTACCAGGTCGTTTCCTTCCACGTTGTACGAGCGATGGCAAATTTGAGCCTGTGCAGCTGTTCGGACCAGACGCTTATTGCGTGGACGCGGAAGGCAATGAAATACCTGGAACCAGAGTAATTAGACCATTCAAACCAAACTGTTTCGCTGGTAAGTTTACTATGTTTTAATTTTCCAACTGGATAATTGCGACTTATCATTTATCTCAAATTGTAAACTATTATTTTAGATAAACCTGGTCGATGTCCAGCGCCATGGCTGGGACTTGATGGCAAATGTGACAAAATGGGTGACCTGTGTCAAAGAGACAATGGATGCCCAGATGACCAGAAATGCTGTTTTAATGGCTGCCAAAATGAATGTGTTCCCAAGGACCCCAACGAAAAATATGGTAAATAAAAGATATCCTTATTTTTCATTTTACATTTTGTTAGCAGCTTATTGGCGATATCAAACACACGTGAAAAAATATCGTATTTTTTCACGAGTGTTGTTACAGCTGAAAATCCTTGTATATCACTGTATATATATATGTATATGTATATGTGTGTATATATATATATATATATATATATATATATATATATATATATATATATGTACACATGTACACACACACACACACACACACACACACACATACATATACAGTACGGTTCGATCAAGCCATAAGAGAAAAGAACCTATCAGGAAGCTCGGATTTACCTCAGGACTACCTTGCCATATAACGAATTGTTACATTACTACGTTATTATTACTGATATTGTTGGGCTAAATACCTGTGTGATACAGTGAAGACTTGACACCAGATATGGTTTTAACACTTTTACGGTGTGATCAAACCAACAGAAAGAACAAAAAATCCAACTACTTTTTTTAAGAAACGTGTCATAACTCTTCCCTTCGAGCCACTCCTGCAGGCAATATAATTGTTATCCTTTAAAAACTCACTTAAGCCCATCAAAGACTAAAACTTAGCTTACCACTGACACAAACTCACTTTTCACTTCAAATGTTCGTCAAAATGCAGAATCCTTAAAGTATATCACAATCGCTCTCTTTAAATATAACTTTCTAGGCAGTCGGTCTTTATCGACAACAGCAACCACCACTCATATATGACTGATTCAATGAATTTATTTACAACGTATTCTAGAACATTCTGGAAGCCTACCACCCAACTATTCTTGTCGAATTGCATCATAATTACGTAACCTTATAATATGTTCAAGAAAGTTCCAAGTTATGACAAAGTTCGACTATCGATGTGACGTAACTAGGCATTCAAAACTTTTCAGAAATTTCCACTGAACGTAACAACAGCTTCGCAAAAAACATGATTCTGGACAAAGTTTAAATTTATGTTTGTAATTGTTAAGGAATACAGGTCTTGTACTCAACGCCATCCTGTAACAGTTTAAAACATTAAGTATAATTATACTGTCGATAACGTAACTTCCCCAATTGATCTTTTTCAATCTTATCATCTGAAGCCACAAGTTATTCTTTTTCGCCCAAAAGGTGGTATTTGTCCAATTCCAATGGATGTCACGTTCATTATTGACTCGTCTGGAAGTTTGGGCCGCAGAAACTGGCTCCTTGTGCTCAGTTTTGTTCAATCAATAGTTCGACTCTTTGGCGTGTCACCATCCGGAACCCATGTCGCCCTTATTCCATTCAGTACTGACGCGAAGGCGGTTCTTAAATTCAATACATTATCTGGATCCCTTCTCAACGTCGCAGAGGTGAACAGACAAGTTGCTGGCCTCCGTTGGCAGAGAGGTTTCACTCGGATTGATAAAGCAATGGAATTGGCGGACAAGGAAGTGTTAACTTACGCTGCCGGCATGCGGAATGTACCAAGGGTAAAATTACCTCAATAGCAATCCTTTTCAAAATACATACCGTCTTTACTAAAAAGAAGCGCTAACGCTCCAACAAGCCCCTCCCCCGCCAAAATATCAAACAAGTGCCTCCCCCCCCTCCACTCCTTCGAATAAGCGTCCCAGAGTTAAGGCCACTTTATTTATAACTTTTTTTAAGTTTTAACCACAGTGGAATCAGTACAGGAGAATAGTTTCTTTTCCGTTAAATCATTTCCAGTTATGTCTATCTTCGCATACTTGCTCTTCTTTAAATTTTTCGTCCTATTGCCGCGTTCTTAGTAAATGCCAAAAACTTACCAGGAAAAACTAGACTGTTCTTTTTGTCTCAGAAGATCATAAATTTCTACCTAAAGAAAATTATTCGGATGCGTTTTAATGAAAACAATTGATAATGAATGAGTCGAAATTTTAAATGAGCACCTGGACGCTTATTCGAGGAATACGTACCTTTATACAATAATGACTAAAACTTGGGAGGAACATTCCGTGGTGTATTTGAACCTTCCGGGTTTGGATAGTCAGGCTACCGCTTGTCCAACTGTAGGTGACAATGACTAAAATTCGGACTTATAGTCAAGTGTGTGGGGCATATTTCGTTAGACTACAAAGTACAGATTCAACTGGATTCAACTGGACATTGTACGATTCGTTCTTTTTCCTCTTTTCATTTTCTCTCTCTCTTTCCTCCCTTTTCTCTCTCTTCACTCCTTTTCCAATCTTTCTCCCATTCATTTCTTCCCTTAAACCTATAGCCTGTTTTGGTAATCACGGATGGAAAGCAGACGACTGACAGAGGACCGTACACTCCACTTCAACTTGTCTCGTCACGCCTTCGGAACAAGGGAGCAGCTGTGTTCGCTTTGGGTATTGGTCTTAGCGTTGACAGTTCAGAACTTGAACAAATCGCTTCTAGTCCTGAAAACGTCATCACAATCGATTCTTTCGAGGATTTGACAGACAAAATTAAGGATTTCAGGGATGGCTTCTGTAAAGGTAGACTTCACACTTGTCTTGTCTTTGTTTCCTGATCTACTGTTGACGCTGAAAAATTATACATGTACAGCCTTTCATCTCTTTAACAAGAGTGAACTGTTTTAATTTCACATACATGCAGCAGTACCAAAAGTCGTTCCCCACCGTTAAACGCCCTGAAGTTGCCTTGGTATCACGATGTGGTATCTAATTATCTAAAATCGGCATTTTCATGATGATTACAATAAGTATGATAGACATCCTCTTTGTCGCCTCTTAAAGATACAAAGCCTAAGTGCAACACGCTGATATTTTTACTTAATTTGCGACCAAAGGAAGAAAAAGTCAAGAAGTTACAAGAAACCTATATATCCTATCTGTCAAATAGGATTTTTTTAAAAATGATGCCGACAAGTCGGCAAGTTTTTTTTTTTTTTGAAGGTACTCATCAAATATTGCTTTCTCCTTCAGCACCACCCCCGGCTACAACAACTGCACCACCTATCACCACGCCGCCAGGTATGAGCACATTGAAGCCTAAATCCTTTCATTCCCTAGACTGATATCATTATCAATTCTCCCCTCTGTCCACGTTTTGTATTTTAGCTATGCAAGTTAGTTTTCTAATCATAGTCATTCATTAATCCGCAATTTACACAAATGCCTTCCATATATTGACAGTCATTCAAACGATAGGACTTCGATACTTTTTTTTTGCTCTTACTTTTTTCGCCTTTGACTAAATAGTTGACAATTTTGTAGGAAGAAATTAATTTCCTCTCATTCCTGGACGTGAAAAAATTAAAACCATTAAATTTCCGGCACGAACCTTGTAAAACTTTTTCTAAACAGATCCATGCACGACTGTTGGCTGTAAGGCGCCTTACAACATCGGTTGTAAAAATGTGAACAACACGGCTGAGTGCATCTGCCCCAGCTGTCCTGATACTCTCAGCCCTGTGTGTACATCAGATGATGTTCAGGACCGTTCTGAATGCTTCATGAAACGACAATCGTGTCAAAGTGGTGATATGGTGACACTTGCAAAGAACGGACCATGTGGTATGTCAATTAAACCAGCTGAGCCTGGAAGTCTTTAGAAACATTGAGTTACGAGGCAGACTTCTCGTCAATTACCAAGTGAGATTCATTAGCTTTTTCCGCTCATGATTGAATTCAATCGAGCTACCGTTTTTTGTTGTTTCTTTTGTTTTTTTCAGACAAGGAATGCAGACCAATCGTAGATGTAGGATTTGTCATTGACTCATCTGGAAGCATTGGACGTAGAAACTGGGCAAGAATGAAGAGATTCCTCAAAGCAATAGTCAGCAAACTTGACGTCAGTCCTTCCTATACACACATATCAGCTGTTGCCTACAGCAACAATCCTGTGGTGGTGTATCGGTTTAACAATCGCCAAGCAACAGATAGCATCAACAACGCGTTTGACGGTATGCGTTGGCAGCGCGGCTTTACTTACACGGACAAAGCTCTTTTGCTTGCGGACAGTGACTTGTACAAACCTTCCAACGGCATGAGACCAAACGTTGCTAAGGTAAGAGCTTTCCTCCAATAGAGACTGTTAGTAGGCAGTGTTCCTTGACTATAGGTTTCTTTTTTTGCAATGGTCACTTGCTAATATTTCTTATGTTGATCTATGGACGTGGGATAGTAACAGACCATTGTTTACACCATCTCCTTTTATTTAGATCTCCTTGATTCTTTGTCTGTCAGGTTTTGATCGTCATCACTGATGGAGCACAGACAACAACCAAAGCATACACTCCGCTGCCAAAAGCATCTGCAGGTGTAAAGAGCAAAGGAGTAGCAGTCTATGCTATTGGAGTTGGCAAGGGAGTAAACGAGGCAGAGCTTAGAGAAATTGCATCCAGCCAAGAAAATGTCTTTGTATCAGCCTCTTTCAAGGAACTCCATAACCTTGCAGTAGAAATACGGAAGAGACTCTGCGACGGTAAGTATTGCTATTTTTTACTGAGTATATTTGGACAATCGCTGATAAAAATACACTAAGCCTCTTTGCAAGTAATCAACGAACACAATTGTAGCCTTGTGACTTGTTTTTCTAGCCCTGTTATTTCTTTTATTTCTCTTTTAGTACTACCTCCATTAACAACACCGACACCACTGCCAACACCTGCACGTAAGTAAACTCAAACGGCAAACATGTCATTTAACAATGAAACCTGGTAGGTCTTGTGTCTTTCTATTTTTTTTATGCTACTCTTGATGTTTTTCTCTTCTACTCCGTCAGCGTGCAAGGCCACGGCGGATGTAGCATTTATCGTGGACTCATCGGGAAGTATTGGTCGTCGAAGATGGCCGCTGATGTTGAATTTCTTGAAGAACATCATTAGTGCCTTCAATGTTGGTCCGGATGGTACCCATGTAGCAGTAATCGCCTACAGTAACGATGCCAAGCTTGAAATAGCCTTCGACTCCGTGTCCGGTTCGCAGATTACTGCCGAAGAATATGGAAAGCGGATCGATAAGATCGCATTTCAGAGAGGCTTTACATACATCGACAAAGGCTTGAAAATGGCAGATGAACAAGTGTTTGTAACAAGCGCAGGAATGAGGCCCAACGTACCACAGGTATTTAGGCACTGCTTCTTCCATAAAAGACATACAACAAAATTACATACCGCTCTAGACCTCTCTATCACTCACATTCGATGGTACTGCACCGTCCAGTCCCTTTGGTATCGCTTTTACTTACCTTATTCTCCAAAAAGGAAAAAAAGGATTTATTTTGTGAATCCTGTTTCTTTTACTCTCTAATGGTTTAATTTCATTTTGGCCGTAGATTCATTTCTCCTCCAACTTGTGTTTTTGTGTAAACTTTTGTTCTGGATTAGGTTGCCATCGTCATAACTGATGGACAGCAGACAACAACCCAGGCATATACACCTTTGGATCAAGCTTCCAAAGGAATCAAAGACAAGGGAGTTGAGGTGTTTGCCTTAGGCATCGGTTCAGGCGTTGACACTAGCCAGCTGCGTCAGATTGCAAGCTCCAACGACAACGTGTTTACTGCTCCTGGATTTGAAGAGCTGGAGTCAGTTGTCAAGCCAATTGTGGAAAAGACATGTCCAAGTAAGCGTTCTAATACATCCAAAAGTAGTCTGGAGAGGAATAGGTGCTGGAAAAGCGTATACTAAGGAGATGAACTACACTTCCGCACGCGTTAATGACAGTGGTACAAATTATAAACCACTTTCATAATTAGTTTTATTTGAATAAGACTTCTACTCTGGCCCTTTATACACTACCTACTGTGGGCTTCAACAACTTCATTCTCCTTCGCTTGTTATGCATGGTCTTGACCGCTTTATTTACTTGAATGAAAGTCATGTCACCATGTCTCGGAATACCATCGCGAACGTCGGCTTAAAAACCAAATCTTTTCCTATTTTGAATTCTTCTTCTTACTTGTGAACATTAAAGTCTGATTGTTGTTTGCTCTCTATACCTTCAAACGACGTGTTTTGTGCTGTTTTCCTTTTTCAGCTAAACCTCCTGATCCATGCAAGACCATCAATTGTTCTGCTCCATACAGTCTTGGCTGTAGAGTTGTAAACGATACAGCGGAGTGCATCTGTCCCGACTGTCCTGACACCGTAAGCCCTGTTTGTACATCAGATGACGTCCAGGACCGCTCGGAGTGCCTGATGAAAAGACAATCTTGCATAACTGGAGACCTGGTGACCGTTGCTAAGAGTGGACCTTGCGGTAAGTGGAATTGATGCGTAACAAGAACCTCGGCACGGACAATCAAACGCTAAAGCAAGTTGTCTTCTCCACTTTGAAGAGCTTGTCCTGATACCTTAGTTTTCGGTTTGCCTTCTAAACCGAATTTGGGTGTTTTTTAAGTGATAAATACACGTGTGCAGAGCCAGAGGCTCTTAACTTTCAAAGCATCTCTACCTTATAATAAGGTTAGTTTTCAAATGTTTACAGATAAGGAATGCAGACCAATCGCAGATATTGGATTTGTCATTGACTCGTCTGGAAGCATTGGACGGAGCAACTGGGGAAGGATGAAGCGATTCCTCAAAGCGTTGGTCAGCAAACTTGACGTCAGTCCTTCCTATACACACATATCAGCTGTTGCCTATAGCAACAATCCCGAGGTGGTGTATCGGTTTAACAACCGCCAAGCAACAGATGACGTCAACAACGCGTTTGACGGTATGCGTTGGCAGCGCGGCTTTACTTACACGGACAAAGCTCTTTTGCTTGCGGACAGTGATTTGTACAGGCCTTCCAACGGCATGAGACCAAACGTTGCAAAGGTAAGAGCTTTCCTCCAACAGAAACTGTTAGTAGGAAATGTTCCTTGACTATAGGTTTCTTTTTTGCAATGGTCACTTGCTAATATTTCTTATGTTGATCTATGGCCGTGGGATACTAACAGCCTATAATCTACGCCACCTCCTTTTATTTAGATCTCCTTGATTCTTTGTCCGTCAGGTTTTGATCGTCATCACTGATGGAGCACAGACAACAACCAAATCATACACTCCGCTGCCAAAAGCATCTGCAGGTGTAAAGAGCAAAGGAGTAGCAGTCTATGCTATTGGAGTTGGCAAGGGAGTAAACGAGGCAGAGCTTAGAGAAATTGCATCCAGCCAAGATAATGTCTTTGCATCAGCCTCTTTCAAGGAACTCCATAACCTTGCAGTAGAAATACGGAAGAGACTCTGCGACGGTAAGTATTGCTATTTTTTACTGAGTATATTTGGACAATCGCTGATAAAAATACACTAAGCCTCTTTGCAAGTAATCAACGAACACAATTGTAGCCTTGTGACTTGTTTTTCTAGCCCTGTTTTTTCCTTTTATTTCTCTTTTAGTACTACCTCCATTAACAACACCGACACCACTGCCAACACCTGCACGTAAGTAAACTTAAACGGCAAACATGTCATTTAACAATGAAACCTGGTAGGTCTTGTGTCTTTCTATTTTTTCATGCTACTCTTGATGTTTTTCTCTTCTACTCCGTCAGCGTGCAAGGCCACAGCGGATGTAGCATTTATCGTGGACTCATCGGGAAGTATTGGTCGTCGAAGATGGCCGCTGATGTTGAATTTCTTGAAGAACATCATTAGTGCCTTCAATGTTGGTCCGGATGGTACCCATGTAGCAGTAATCGCCTACAGTAACGATGCCAAGCTTGAAATAGCCTTCGACTCCGTGTCCGGTTCGCAGATTACTGCCGAAGAATATGGAAAGCGGATCGATAAGATCGCATTTCAGAGAGGCTTTACATACATCGACAAAGGCTTGAAAATGGCAGATGAACAAGTGTTCGTAACAAGCGCAGGAATGAGGCCCAACGTACCACAGGTATTTAGGCACTGCTTCTTCCATAAAAGACATACAACAAAATTGCATACCCCTCTAGACCTCTCTATTACTCACATTCGATGGTACTGCACCGTCCAGTCCCTTTGGTATCGCTTTTACTTACCTTATTCTACAAAAAGTAAAAAAAGGGTTTATTTTGTGAATCCTGTTTCTTTTACTCTCTAATGGTTTAATTTCATTTTGGCCGTAGATTCATTTCTCCTCCAACTTGTGTTTTTGTGTAAACTTTTGTTCTGGATTAGGTTGCCATCGTCATAACTGATGGACAGCAGACAACAACCCAGGCATATACACCTTTGGATCAAGCATCCAAAGGAATCAAAGACAAGGGAGTTGAGGTGTTTGCCTTAGGCATCGGTTCAGGCGTTGACACTAGCCAGCTGCGTCAGATTGCAAGCTCCAACGACAACGTGTTTACTGCTCCTGGATTTGAAGAGCTGGAGTCAGTTGTCAAGCCAATTGTGGAAAAGACATGTCCAAGTAAGCGTTCTAATACATCCAAAAGTAGTCTGGAGAGGAATAGGTGCTGGAAAAGCGTATACTAAGGAGATGAACTGCGCTTCCGCACGCGTTAATGACAGTGATACAAATTATAAACCACTTTTATAATCAGTTTTCTTTGAATAAGACTTCTACTCTGGCCCTTTATACACTACCTACTGTGGGCTTCAACAACTTCATTCTCCTTCGCTTGTTATGCATGGTCTTGACCGCTTTATTTACTTGAATGAAAGTCATGTCACCATGTCTCGGAATACCATCGCGAACGTCGGCTTAAAAACCAAATCTTTTCCTATTTTGAATTCTTCTTCTTACTTGTGAACATTAAAGTCTGATTGTTGTTTGCTCTCTATACCTTCAAACGACATGTTTTGTGCTGTTTTCCTTTTTCAGCTAAACCTCCTGATCCATGCAAGACCATCAATTGTTCTGCTCCATACAGTCTTGGCTGTAGGGTTGTAAACGATACAGCGGAGTGCATCTGTCCCGACTGTCCTGACACCGTAAGCCCTGTTTGTACATCAGATGACGTCCAGGACCGTTCGGAGTGCCTGATGAAAAGACAATCTTGCATAACTGGAGACCTGGTGACTGTTGCTAAGAGTGGACCTTGCGGTAAGTGGAATTGATACGTAACAAGAACCTCGGCACGGACAATCAAACGCTAAAGCAAGTTGTCTTCTCCACTTTGAAGAGCTTGTCCTGATACCGTAGTTTTCGGTTTGCCTTCTAAACCAAATTTGGGTGTTTTTTAAGTGATAAATACACGTGTACAGAGCCAGAGGCTCTTAACTTTCAAAGCATCTCTACCTTATAATAAGGTTAGTTTTCAAATGTTTACAGATAAGGAATGCAGACCAATCGCAGATATTGGATTTGTCATTGACTCGTCTGGAAGCATTGGACGGAGCAACTGGGGAAGGATGAAGCGATTCCTCAAAGCGTTGGTCAGCAAACTTGACGTCAGTCCTTCCTATACACACATATCAGCTGTTGCCTATAGCAACAATCCCGAGGTGGTGTATCGGTTTAACAACCGCCAAGCAACAGATGACGTCAACAACGCGTTTGACGGTATGCGTTGGCAGCGCGGCTTTACTTACACGGACAAAGCTCTTTTGCTTGCGGACAGTGATTTGTACAGGCCTTCCAACGGCATGAGACCAAACGTTGCAAAGGTAAGAGCTTTCCTCCAACAGAAACTGTTAGTAGGCAATGTTCTTTGACTATAGGTTTCTTGTTTGCAATGGTCACTTGCTAATATTTCTTATGTTGATATATGGGCGTGGGATAGTAACAGACTATAATCTACACCACCTCCTTTTATCTAGATCTCCTTGATTCTTTGTCTGTCAGGTTTTGATCGTCATCACTGATGGAGCACAAACAACAACGAAAGCATACACTCCGCTGCCAAAAGCATCTGCAGGTGTAAAGAGCAAAGGAGTAGCAGTCTATGCTATTGGAGTTGGCAAGGGAGTAAACGAGGCAGAGCTTAGAGAAATTGCATCCAGCCAAGAAAATGTCTTTGTATCAGCCTCTTTCAAGGAACTCCATAACCTTGCAGTAGAAATACGGAAGAGACTCTGCGACGGTAAGTATTGCTATTTTTTACTGAGTATATTTGGACAATCGCTGATAAAAATACACTAAGCCTCTTTGCAAGTAATCAACGAACACAATTGTAGCCTTGTGACTTGTTTTTCTAGCCCTGTTTTTTCCTTTTATTTCTCTTTTAGTACTACCTCCATTAACAACACCGACACCACTGCCAACACCTGCACGTAAGTAAACTCAAACGGCAAACATGTCATTTAACAATGAAACCTGGTAGGTCTTGTGTCTTTCTATTTTTTCATGCTACTCTTGATGTTTTTCTCTTCTACTCCGCCAGCGTGCAAGGCCACGGCGGATGTAGCATTTATCGTGGACTCATCGGGAAGTATTGGTCGTCGAAGATGGCCGCTGATATTGAATTTCTTGAAGAACATCATTAGTGCCTTCAATGTTGGTCCAGATGGTACCCATGTAGCAGTAATCGCCTACAGTAACGATGCCAAGCTTGAAATAGCCTTCGACTCCGTGTCCGTGGCGCAGATTACTGTCGAAGAATATGGAAAGCGGATCGATAAGATCGCATTTCAGAGAGGCTTTACATACATCGACAAAGGCTTGAAAATGGCAGATGAACAAGTGTTTGTAACAAGTGCAGGAATGAGGCCAAACGTACCACAGGTATTTAGGCACTGCTTCTTCCATAAAAGACATACAACAAAATTGCATACCCCTCTACACCTCTCTATTACTCACATTTGATGGTACTGCACCGTCCGGTCCCTTTGGTATCTCTTTTACTTACCTTATTCTCCAAAAAGGAAAAAAAGAGTTCATTTTGTGAATCCTGTTTCTTTGACTCTCTAATGGTTTAATTTCATTTTGGCCGTAGATTCATTTCTCCTCCAACTTGTGTTTTTGTGTAAACTTTTGTTCTGGATTAGGTTGCCATCGTCATAACTGATGGACAGCAGACAACTACTAAAGCGTATACACCTTTGGATCAAGCTTCCAAAGGAATCAAAGACAAGGGAGTTGAGGTGTTTGCCTTAGGCATCGGTTCAGGCGTTGACACTAGCCAGCTGCGTCAGATTGCAAGCTCCAACGACAACGTGTTTACTGCCCCTGGATTTGAAGAGCTGGAGTCAGTTGTCAAGCCAATTGTGGAAAAGACATGTCCAAGTAAGCGTTCTAATACATCCAAAAGTAGTCTGGAGAGGAATAGGTGCTGGAAAAGCGTATACTTAGGAGATGAACTACACTTCCGCACGCGTTAATGACAGTGGTACAAATTATAAACCACTTTTATAATCAGTTTTATTTGAATAAGACTTCTACTCTGGCCCTTTATACACTACCTACTGTGGGCTTCAACAACTTCATTCTCCTTCGCTTGTTATGCATGGTCTTGACCGCTTTATTTACTTGAATGAAAGTCATGTCACCATGTCTCGGAATACCATCGCGAACGTCGGTTTAAAAACCAAATCTTTTCCTATTTTGAATTCTTCTTCTTACTTGTGAACATTAAAGTCTGATTGTTGTTTGCTCTCTATACCTTCAAACGACATGTTTTGTGCTGTTTTTCCTTTTTCAGCTAAACCTCCTGATCCATGCAAGACCATCAATTGTTCTGCTCCATACAATCTTGGCTGTAGAGTTGTAAACGATACAGCGGAGTGCATCTGTCCCGACTGTCCTGACACCGTAAGCCCTGTTTGTACATCAGATGACGTCCAGGACCGTTCGGAGTGCCTGATGAAAAGACAATCTTGCATAACTGGAGACCTGGTGACTGTTGCTAAGAGTGGACCTTGCGGTAAGTGGAATTGATGCGTAACAAGAACCTCGGCACGGACAATCAAACGCTAAAGCAAGTTGTCTTCTCCACTTTGAAGAGCTTGTCCTGATACCTTAGTTTTCGGTTTGCCTTCTAAACCGAATTTGGGTGTTTTTTAAGTGATAAATACACGTGTGCAGAGCCAGAGGCTCTTAACTTTCAAAGCATCTCTACCTTATAATAAGGTTAGTTTTCAAATGTTTACAGATAAGGAATGCAGACCAATCGCAGATATTGGATTTGTCATTGACTCGTCTGGAAGCATTGGACGGAGCAACTGGGGAAGGATGAAGCGATTCCTCAAAGCGTTGGTCAGCAAACTTGACGTCAGTCCTTCCTTTACACACATATCAGCTGTTGCCTATAGCAACAATCCCGAGGTGGTGTATCGGTTTAACAACCGCCAAGCAACAGATGACGTCAACAACGCGTTTGACGGTATGCGTTGGCAGCGCGGCTTTACTTACACGGACAAAGCTCTTTTGCTTGCGGACAGTGATTTGTACAGGCCTTCCAACGGCATGAGACCAAACGTTGCAAAGGTAAGAGCTTTCCTCCAACAGAAACTGTAAGTAGGCAATGTTCCTTGACTATAGGTTTCTTTTTTGCAATGGTCACTTGCTAATATTTCTTATGTTGATCTATGGGCGTGGGATAGTAACAGCCTATAATCTACGCCACCTCCTTTTATTTAGATCTCCTTGATTCTTTGTCCGTCAGGTTTTGATCGTCATCACTGATGGAGCACAGACAACAACCAAAGCATACACTCCGCTGCCAAAAGCATCTGAAGGTGTAAAGAACAAAGGAGTAGCAGTCTATGCTATTGGAGTTGGCAAGGGAGTAAACGAGGCAGAGCTTAGAGAAATTGCATCCAGCCAAGATAATGTCTTTGTATCAGCCTCTTTCAAGGAACTCCATAACCTTGCAGTAGAAATACGGAAGAGACTCTGCGACTGTAAGTCTTGCTATTTTTTACTGAGTATATTTGGACAATCGCTGATAAAAAGACTTTTAAGCCTCTTTGCAAGTAATCAACGAAATACAATTGTAGCTTTGTGACTTCTTTTTCTAGCCCTGTTATTTCCTTTATTTCTCTTTTAGTACTGCCTCCATTAACAACACCGACACCACTGCCAACGCCTGCACGTAAGTAAACTCAAACGGCAAACATGTCATTTAACAATGAAACCTGGTAGGTCTTGTGTCTTTCTATTTTTTCATGCTACTCTTGATGTTTATCTCTTCTACTCCATCAGCGTGCAAGGCCACGGCGGATGTAGCATTTATCGTGGACTCATCGGGAAGTATTGGTCGTCGAAGATGGCCGCTGATGTTGAATTTCTTGAAGAACATCATTAGTGCCTTCAATGTTGGTCCAGATGGTACCCATGTAGCAGTAATCGCCTACAGTAACGATGCCAAGCTTGAAATAGCCTTCGACTCCGTGTCCAGGGCGCAGATTACTGCCGAAGAATATGGAAAGCGGATCGATAAGATCGCATTTCAGAGAGGCTTTACATACATCGACAAAGGCTTAAAAATGGCAGATGAACAAGTGTTTGTAACAAGCGCAGGAATGAGGCCCAACGTACCACAGGTATTTAAGCACTGCTTCTTCCATAAAAGACTTACAACAAAATTGCATACCGCTCTAGACATCTCTATTACTCACATTCGATGGTACTGCACCGTCCAGTCCCTTTGGTATCGCTTTTACTTACCTTATTCTACAAAAAGTAAAAAAAAGGGTTTATTCTGTGAATCCTGTTTAGTTTACTCTCTAATGGTTTAATTTCATTTTGGCTGTAGATTCATTTCTCCTCCAACTTGTGTTTTTTTATAAACTTTTGTCCTGGATTAGGTTGCCATCGTCATAACTGATGGACAGCAGACCACTACCAAGGCATATACACCTTTAGATCAAGCTTCCAAAGGAATCAAAGACAAGGGAGTCGAGGTGTTTGCCTTAGGCATCGGATCAGGCGTTGACACTAGCCAGCTGCGTCAGATTGCAAGCTCCAACGACAACGTGTTTACTGCTCCTGGATTTGACGAGCTGGAGTCTGTTGTCAAGCCAATTGTTGAAAAGACATGTCCAAGTAAGCGTTCTAATATATCCAAAAGTAGTCTGGAGAGGAATAGGTGCAGAAAAAGTTCACACGAAGGAGATGATCTGGGCTTCCGCACGCGTTAATGACAGTGATACAAATTATAAACCACTTTTATAATCAGTTTTCTTTGAATAAGACTTCTACTCTAGCCCTTTATACACTACCTTCTGTAGGCTTCAAAAACTTCAGTCTCCCTCGCATGTTATGCGTGGTCTTAACCGCTTTATTTACTTGGATGAACGTCATGTCACCATGTCTCAGAATACCATCGCGAACGTCGGTTTAAAAACCAAATCCTTTCCTATTTTGAATTCTTCTTCTTATTCGTGAACATTAAAGTCTGATTGTTGTTTGTTCTCTATACCTTCAAACAACGTGTTTTGTGCTGTTGTACTTTTTCAGCTAAACCTCCTGATCCATGCAAGACCATCAATTGTTCTGCTCCATACAGTCTTGGCTGTAGGGTTGTAAACAATACAGCGGAGTGCATCTGTCCCGACTGTCCTGACACCGTAAGCCCTGTTTGTACATCAGATGACGTCCAGGACCGCTCGGAATGCCTGATGAAAAGACAATCTTGCATAACTGGAGACCTGGTGACCGTTGCTAAGAGTGGACCTTGCGGTAAGTGGAATTGATACGTAACAAGAACCTCGGCACGGACAATCAAACGCTAAAGCAAGATGTCTTGTCCACTTTGAAGAGCTTGTCCTGATACCTTGGTTTTCGGTTTGTATTCTAAACCGAATTTGGGTGTTTATAAATGATAAATACACGTGTGCAGAGCCAGAGGCTCTTAACTTTCAAAGCATCTCTACTTTGTAATAAGTGTAGTTTTTCAAATGTTTACAGATAAGGAATGCAGACCAATCGCAGATATTGGATTTGTCATTGACTCGTCTGGAAGCATTGGACGGAGCAACTGGGGAAGGCTGAAGCGATTCCTCAAAGCGTTGGTCAGCAAACTTGACGTCAGTCCTTCCTTTACACACATATCAGCTGTTGCCTATAGCAACAATCCCGAGGTGGTGTATCGGTTTAACAACCGCCAAGCAACAGATGACGTCAACAACGCGTTTGACGGTATGCGTTGGCAGCGCGGCTTTACTTACACGGACAAAGCTCTTTTACTTGCGGACAGTGATTTGTACAGGCCTTCCAACGGCATGAGACCAAACGTTGCAAAGGTAAGAGCTTTCCTCCAACAGAAACTGTTAGTAGGGAATATTCCTTGACTAAAGGTTTCTTTTTTGCAATGGTCACTTGCTAATATTTCTTATGTTGATCTATGGGCGTGGGATAGTAACAGACTATAATCTACACCACCTCCTTTTATTTAGATCTCCTTGATTCTTTGTCTGTCAGGTTTTGATCGTCATCACTGATGGAGCACAGACAACAACCAAAGCATACACTCCGCTGCCAAAAGCATCTGCAGGTGTAAAGAGCAAAGGAGTAGCAGTCTATGCCATTGGAGTTGGCAAGGGAGTAAACGAGGCAGAGCTTAGAGAAATTGCATCCAGCCAAGATAATGTCTTTGTATCAGCCTCTTTCAAGGAACTCCATAACCTTGCAGTAGAAATACGGAAGAGACTCTGCGACTGTAAGTCTTGCTATTTTTTACTGAGTATATTTGGACAATCGCTGATAAAAAGACTTTTAAGCCTCTTTGCAAGTAATCAACGAAATACAATTGTAGTTTTGTAACTTGTTTTTCTAGCCCTATTATTTCCTTTATTTCTCTTTTAGTACGACCTCCATTAACAACACCGACACCACTGCCAACGCCTGCACGTAAGTAAACTCAAACGGCAAACATGTCATTTAACAATGAAACCTGGTAGGTCTTGTGTCTTTCTATTTTTTCATGCTACTCTTGATGTTTATCTCTTCTACTCCGTCAGCGTGCAAGGCCACGGCGGATGTAGCATTTATCGTGGACTCATCAGGAAGTATTGGTCGTCGAAGATGGCCGCTGATGTTGAATTTCTTGAAGAACATCATTAGTGCCTTCAATGTTGGTCCAGATGGTACCCATGTAGCAGTAATCGCCTACAGTAACGATGCCAAGCTTGAAATAGCCTTCGACTCCGTGTCCGTGGCGCAGATTACTGCCGAAGAATATGGAAAGCGGATCGATAAGATCGCATTTCAGAGAGGCTTTACATACATCGACAAAGGCTTGAAAATGGCAGATGAACAAGTGTTTGTAACAAGCGCAGGAATGAGGCCCAACGTACCACAGGTATTTAGGCACTGCTTCTTCCATAAAAGACTTACAACAAAATTGCATACCGCTCTAGACCTCTCTATTACTCACATTTGATGGTACTGTACTGTCCAGTCCCTTTGGTATCGCTTTTACTTACCTTATTCTTCAAAAAGTAAAAAAAGGGGTTTATTCTGTGAATCCTGTTTGTTTTATTCTCTAATGGTTTAATTTCATTTTGGCCGTAGATGCATTTCTCCTCCAACTTGTGTTTTTGTGTAAACTTTTGTCCTGGATTAGGTTGCCATCGTCATAACTGATGGACAGCAGACAACTACTAAAGCGTATACACCTTTGGATCAAGCATCCAAAGGAATCAAAGACAAGAGAGTCGAGGTGTTTGCCTTAGGCATCGGATCAGGCGTTGACACTAGCCAACTGCGTCAGATTGCAAGCTCCAACGACAACGTGTTTACTGCTCCTGGATTTGACGAGCTGGAGTCTGTTGTCAAGCCAATTGTTGAAAAGACATGTCCAAGTAAGCGTTCTAATACATCCAAAAGTAGTCTGGAGAGGAATAGGTGCTGGAAAAGCGTATACGAAGGAGATGAACTGGGCTTCCGTACGCGTTAATGACAGTGATACAATTTACAAACCACTTTTATAATCAGTTTTCTTTGAATAAGACTTCTACTCTGGCCCTTTATACACTACCTACTGTGGGCTTCAACAACTTCATTCTCCTTCGCTTGTTATGCGTGGTCTTAACCGCTTTATTTACTTGAATGAAAGTCATTTCACCATGTCTCAGAATACTATCGCAAACGTCGGTTTAAAAACCAAATCTTTTCCTATTTTGAATTCTTCTTCTTATTCGTGAACATTAAAGTCTGATTGTTGTTTGCTCTCTATACCTTCAAACAACGTGTTTTGTGCTGTTGTACTTTTTCAGCTAAACCTCCTGATCCATGCAAGACCATCAATTGTTCTGCTCCATACAGTCTTGGCTGTAGGGTTGTAAACGATACAGCGGAGTGCATCTGTCCCGACTGTCCTGACACCGTAAGCCCTGTTTGTACATCAGATGACGTCCAGGACCGCTCGGAATGCCTGATGAATAGACAATCTTGCGTAACTGGAGACCTGGTGACTGTTGCTAAGAGTGGACCTTGCGGTAAGTGGAATTGATACGTAACAAGAACCTCGGCACGGACAATCAAACGCTAAAGCAAGATGTCTTGTCCACTTTGAAGAGCTTGTCCTGATACCGTAGTTTTCGGTTTGCCTTCGAAACCGAATTTGGGTGTTTTTTAAGTGATAAATACACGTGTACAGAGCCCGAGGCTCTTAACTTTCAAAGCATCTCTACCTTATAATAAGGTTAGTTTTCAAATGTTTACAGATAAGGAATGCAGACCAATCGCAGATATTGGATTTGTCATTGACTCGTCTGGAAGCATTGGACGGAGCAACTGGGGAAGGATGAAGCGATTCCTCAAAGCGTTGGTCAGCAAACTTGACGTCAGTCCTTCCTATACACACATATCAGCTGTTGCCTATAGTAACAATCCCGAGGTGGTGTATCGGTTTAACAACCGCCAAGAAACAGATGACGTCAACAACGCGTTTGACGGTATGCGTTGGCAGCGCGGCTTTACTTACACGGACAAAGCTCTTTTGCTTGCGGACAGTGATTTGTACAGGCCTTCCAACGGCATGAGACCAAACGTTGCAAAGGTAAGAGCTTTCCTCCAACAGAAACTGTTAAAAGGCAATGTTCCTTGACTATAGGTTTCTTGTTTTCAATGGTCACTTGCTAATATTTCTTATGTTGATCTATGGGCGTGGGATAGTAACAGACTATAGTCTTCACCACCTCCTTTTATTTAGATCTCCTTGATTCTTTGTCTGTCAGGTTTTGATCGTCATCACTGATGGAGCACAGACAACAACCAAAGCATACACTCCGCTGCCAAAAGCATCTGCAGGTGTAAAGAGCAAAGGAGTAGCAGTCTATGCCATTGGAGTTGGCAAGGGAGTAAACGAGGCAGAGCTTAGAAAAATTGCATCCAGCCAAGAAAATGTCTTTGTATCAGCCTCTTTCAAGGAACTCCATAACCTTGCAGTAGAAATACGGAAGAGACTCTGCGACTGTAAGTCTTGCCAGTCTTAAATGCGTGTATTTAGACTATTGTTAGTAAAGGGTGCCTTAACTGCGTAGCACAACCGCGGTGACACACAACCGATTTTGCTTTGAAGCTGTCGTTCCAGTTCCAATGCTAAGAATGTTCGAATTTAACCAACTCTTTTTTGTTATGCTTTAGTACCACCACCAACAACAACACCAACACCACTGCCAACCCCTGCACGTAAGTAAAAATCAAAATGTGAACAATTTCTTTAGCAGGGATGCCCTTCAAATTTTTTCTGATGAATATTTTGTCACGCTATTCCTGTTTCTTTTATTTCGACTCAGCGTGCAAGGCCACGGCGGATGTAGCATTTATCGTGGACTCATCGGGAAGTATTGGTCGTCGAAGATGGCCGCTGATGTTGGAGTTCTTGAAGAACATTATTAGTGCCTTCAATGTTGGTCCAGATGGTACCCATGTAGCAGTAATCGCCTACAGTAACGATGCCAAGCTTGAAATTGCTTTCGACACATTGTCTGGGGCACAGATTACTGCCGAAGAATATGGAAAGCGGATCGATAAGATCGCATTTCAGAGAGGCTTTACATACATCGACAAAGGCTTGAAAATGGCAGATGAACAAGTGTTTGTGACAAGCGCGGGAATGAGGCCTGGTGTTCCCAAAGTAAGTTAGAAAAGCAGAAATAAGTTGTTGTACAATTTCTATTGCCTCCATTACTGGTTCTTGAAACTGGGAATGGAAATTACTATCGCTTTCGAAAGGAGGCGAATCGATGTTCGTTAGAGGGCTACCTACTTACTGTGTTGTTATCAGAGATTTTGTAAGATCTGTGTCAGCAGTACACTTAATCGGGGGTTAGGTTCTAGTTTCTTTAGTATTTAACTATTTAAATACCTTATTAGCGCGAAAATTTTAGTTATGTTGTGAAGTTGGTGTTTTTAATTTTACTTTCTCGTATTTATTAAAACTGTTGTTCTTTTCGCCGTTTGTCTTTCCTTTTGTTGTTGATTGCCAGCATTACTCTTGTTAACGTTTGATAGCTTTAGTTGTAGTCATAGTTTCTGGTCCAGATCTGTTTAAGAATTGAATAAATTACATTTCGAAATGGCTATTAGGCAAATTTACCTGTGCGTCCTCTGCAGAAGATCTGTGTTGTTGAGCCGTTTTACTCTATTGAAGATCAAAAATTTCTTTACAAGGAAAATTTGTACGTTGCTTACTTTGTTTTTTCCACAGATTGCTATTGTAATTACGGATGGCCAACAGACGACAACTAATCAGTTTACACCGTTGGACATTGCATCTCAAGGGATTAAAGACAAAGGAGTAAAAGTTTTTGCGCTAGGAATTGGCTCTGGCGTCAAAGTTGAAGAGCTACAAAAGATTGCAAGCTCTAGCGACGACGTGTTTACTGCTCCTGGATTCGACGAACTGGTTTCTGTTGTAAAGCCAATTGTGGAAAAGGCGTGTCCAAGTAAGACACCTTTACCTTAGGGAAGTCAAAGTTCGGATTTTGGGTTTGATAAAACCTTAAATAATTCACCATTGAAAGCTAATTTGTTGGATACTGTTAATTTATGTTGTAGGAGGCGATAAGTATCCTTATGTCTCCTTGGCCGTGCGTTGCTTACGTATGCAAACAACTATTTAAAAAGAAATGAACTCGGAATCATTTCGTGAATTTGAATCTGTGTTTAACGAAAATGAATCGAAAATTATTCTATTACTTGACATTCGTAGCTATTTATTTTCGTATTCTGCATCTTTATATGTTATTTCAACAAGTATGACTAAAAACAGGTATTTGTTTATCCCTCTCGAACTTCAAGCTCTGCGTGGTGTACTGTAAAGCGTGTTCTTGCCTTTAACCCTTTAACTCCCAAGATCTGACTGTTAACTCTCCCCGCTAGCTTCAACACATTTCCTTTTAAATTAATAATGAGAACTTGGTGTTAGATCAAGATAACAATTACCTGATAAGTTTGAATTTTCTCATTACCTGTTTGCTGGATAATGTAAGGATATTATAGGGAGAAGTTTCATGTTGATCACCTGTGGAAGTTAAAGGGTTAAAATCGAATTGCTCAAGAGGTTTCGATTTCAAGGAAGCTTCCGTTTGTGTTGTCATTGCAATTTAAAGTAATTGATGGCTCCACTTATTAACTTAACATTTGTAAAACGCTCATTGTGTGTATCAATTAAATATGCTGATAAATTCAAATCGCTATGGCTATTATGCTTTGCTTTATTTGCAATCATTCTTCCCTCCACTTCTGCTGCGCCCTGATTAGTTAATGGTTCTATAGTGCAAGTTGGAACTTTGCTGGTGAACTCTTTCAGCACAAGAGACAAATTATGTTTCGCTGAAAGCGTTTCTAAAAAAACTGTGGTGCTGAGTCGGTAAGGGGTATAACAAGATGATTTGGTTTTATCAACTGAGCCACAGGGAAGAGTTTCTAACGCGACGTCTCGAGCGTTAGCCCTTCGTCAGAGCGAATGACGAAGGGCAAGCGCACGAAACGTCAGCTTAGAAACTCTTTGAGGTGGTCAGTTCGCATTATCAACTCAGTTGATAAAACCAAATTGTCTCGTTATTTTACTAAGTTATTTTTTGGAACGCCCTAATGACCGTCAGCAACACGTTTTTCTTGCACCATTTGAACGCTAGCTGCAAAGGAGCTTTCTTTGCATTACTTCATCAATTCCTCATACGCACTAGGACTTTATATCAAAGAGAATAAAAGGAAAACAAGTAGCGTGCGATAGGAATGCAAATATCACCCGGGGTCCATGTTATTAGCGAGATGATCGAAATGATGGCAATTAAAAGTCCCCTTGAGGTAGAAAAAAATTTCTTCGTGTTCTCACTCGGTTCCCTCTTTAATTTTAACGAAAATACACCCTGCCATTATCCCGCCTATTACGTGTTTTTGTTTGTTTAGCGACAATTTCTCACAGAAACCGTTTGTCATAACCAGCTGGATCGAGGGAGAAAATGGGTTAAAGTACGAAGGAGCTTAATTTCAAAATATTTGAATTCACTTTATTTAGTACGCGGTAAGTAATTTCCGCGCTGTTGGAAGTTAGTTACCGTTTATCTTTCGGGAAAGTACCCCTATAGACTTCGAGTCTTAAATGTTAATCAATATTTGCGCAATTTAAATATTTTCCGAATCAAAACAACCTGAAAGCTTATCCCAGTTTTAAAGGAAGGACCTAAGGTCGTTCAAAATTCACATGATGACAGGGGCCTTTTCTCTAGAACTAAAGCCAGAAACCAAACACCATTTGATAAAAGTTTTCATTCACCATTAAATTTTCGCTGCTCATGTATTTAAGTTCCTCTGTATCCGTTACCCCTCCTGCACTCCTAAGAGCTCACTTCACTTCTTACGGAGTTTCCTGTCCGCGTTCATATCCTAGCCCCTGCTGCTTCAAACTGCATGTGTAACTAACTTATTTTTAAAGTAAAATCTAAACGCTAATTTTCTGACCACGATAGCATTTAAAGGTAAAGCCTAAAAAATATAAGGTATTCACTTAATGTTGCTAGTAGGCCCACAGGTACCGCTGCACACCTTCTCATACGCTTTCGCTGGCCTTTTAAGCAAAGACAAGACTTGGCAAATTAAATTTAAATATGCTACAAGTTGTTCAGGTATGCACAATGTGATAGAGCTTTGTCTTTTTGTTGTGAATTTTTGTTTGCCTGTTTTGTTATGTATTGTAACTTGTTTTGTTTGCCTGTTTTGTTATGTTTTGTACCTTGTTTGCTATTGGGATAACTTCCTCCGCTACGCTGTTTCTATTCTGCTTCAGAAGACACACGGGAAGCTTGCAATTCTACATTTAACAGATAAAAATGGAACAGTCCTTTCCCTCGATATCCGGAAATGCGAGTGAGAATCTGGTCTATTTGAATGACTGACTGCAAAGCGGTAAACGGTGCAACCTATGGATTATTGACTGCTCTCAAAATATTGACACCTTTTACTTTGTTTTCCTCGCCAGATCAAAAACTTGGGAAAAACTTGGTTGTCATGAATGTTTTTATATTGCTGAAAGCTTAATGGATCAGAGTCAAAATTAAATAAATCTATATTTCCTTGCAGAGGAACCCGAAGATCCATGCGCAACAATTGGTTGTAAAGCCCCTTATAACATAGGCTGCAGAAATGTCAACAACACAGCAGAGTGCATTTGCCCCACATGTCCTGACATCGACAGCCCTGTTTGTACTTCAGACGAAGTCCAAGATATGTCTGCCTGCTTCATGAGAAGGCAGTCATGTTTAAGTGGTGATCTTGTGGCTGTTGCGAAGAATGGACCATGCGGTGTGTGAAAATTTCAAATTTGCATGGTTTCATGAACTTTTATATCATGAATATCTGACTGATAATAAAGTTTTAGAACCTTCACTAACACATCCCCCGCCCAAAGGGGGGTATATAATTCATAGCTGAATGACATGTAGATGACAAAATAGCCGTATGATATCGTAAAATGCAGACGACTTTGGGTTTAGCTTCCTTAACGCGCTCTCCTAACTTGAGGCACTTTCCATACTTGAAGCGTTTTACTTACATCAGGTGCTTTACTTACTTAAAGTACTTTCCCCACATGAGGTGCTCTACTTACTTGAGGTATGTTACTTACTTGAAGCACTTTTCTTACTTGAGGCGCTTTATTTACTTGAGACGCTTTACTTTATTGAGGTGCCTTACTTACTTGTGGTGCTTTGCTTACTTGAGGCACTTTCCTTACATGAAGCACTTCACTTAAATCAGTGTTTTACTTGCTTAAAGCACTTTCCTCACTTGAGGTGCTATACTTACTAAAGCTACTTTGCTTACTTAAGCTGCTTTACCCACATGAGGTGCTTTTCATACTTGAGGTGCTTTCCTTACTTGCGGTACTTCACCTACTTGAGGTGCTTTACTTACATGAGGTGCTTTACCTACTTGGTGCTCTCCTTTCTTTCGGTGCTTAACTGACTTGCTGCCTTATATACTTAAGATGCTAAAAAGGGAAGTCCAACCTTGTCGTCTTGTACCACGTATATTGTTAAAGCTTTCCTCGATATAACTTGCTGAAGAAGGGTCCAAAAAAAAGAGGCTCCATCTATCAAATGATTTTCTTTACATAAAGTAAAACTCAAAATTCTCACTTGAAATCAAGTGAAGTCTATTCAATAAAAATTCCAATTTTTTATTGCGGGGATTAAAAAATAGACCGCCAACAAAGGAAAATGTCTCTTTGTTTCAATAGACAAGGAATGCACGCCCATCGCAGATATTGGTTTTGTTATCGACTCATCTGGAAGCATTGGACGGAGCAACTGGGCAAGAATGAAGAGATTCCTCAAATCGTTGGTCAGTAAACTTGACGTCAGTCCTTCCTATACGCACGTATCAGCTGTTGCCTATAGCAACAATCCCGAGGTGGTGTATCGGTTTAACAACCGCCAAGCAACAGATGACGTCAACAATGTGTTTGACGGTATGCATTGGCAGCGCGGCTTTACTTACACAGACAAAGCTCTTTTACTGGCAGACAATGATTTGTACAAGCCTTCGAACGGCATGCGACCGAACGTTGCAAAGGTAAGGACGGTTCTCCAATCGAGGCTGGTAGTGTTTCTTGACTATATGTTTTGTTTTTTGTTTTTTTTTGCAGTGATGACTTGTTTAGTATTCCTTATGTTGATATATGGGCATAGGATAGTGATAGACTATTGTTTACAGCACCTCTACATATTTCCTTTTATTGAGATCTCCTTGACTAATGTCCGTCAGGTTTTGATAGTCATCACCGATGGAGCACAAACAACAACAAAAGCATACACTCCGCTAGCAAAAGCGTCTGCAGGTGTAAAGAGCAAAGGAGTTGCAGTCTATGCTATTGGAGTTGGCAAGGGAGCAAACGAGGCAGAGCTGAGAGAAATTGCATCCAGCCAAGAAAATGTCTTTGTATCGGCCTCTTTCAAGGAACTTCATAGCCTTGCGGGAGAAATACGGAAGAGACTCTGCGACTGTAAGTCTTAATAGTATTCTATAACCTGCTTTTTCGGACTCTCATGAGTAAAAGCTGCTTTAACACCATCGCAAATCCTGATCGAAACACAATTGTAGCTCACTGACTTGTCGTTCCAGCCCCGTTATGAAGAATGTTTCAACTTGAGTGACTCGTTTTCTTCTCTTTCAGTACCACCCCCATTAACAACACCGACGCCACTGCCAACACCTGCACGTAAGTAAACTCAAACCGCACATATGTCATTTAACAGTGATACACAATAGGTTTTTTCCTGTCTTGCTATTTTGTCATGCTATTTTTTCCTTTTTTTTGAATTGAACTCCGTCAGCGTGCAAGGCCACGGCGGATGTAGCATTTATCGTGGATTCATCGGGAAGTATTGGTCGTCGAAGATGGCCGCTGATGTTGGGTTTCTTGAAGAACATCATTAGTGCCTTCAATGTTGGTCCAGATGGTAC